GCTTAGGGTATTATTTTCAGAACCCCCCCCCTTCTCAGAACAACCCAATGTTAACCAAATGTTTCCAACAGCAACCCAACAACCAACTGTTTCCAACAGTGTTCCAGACATCTGAAGTCTTTTTCTTTGCAGTTTGAAGGGTGAAAAAAACATGATCTACAAATATAATGTTTTCCTTTGTCAATATTTGTCTTTTTCTGGGCAGGCTACCTCCAACACTGCTTGGCAAAACACAGGATGCGCAGGCGTGTCCAAATTACCCTTAAATGGCCAAATGACCTCTAAAGGTCAAATGACCCTTAAAATAAGGAGTCGTATGGACCCCTATGTCACTTTTATGAGGCGTTTCGTCCTTCAGGTTGTCATTGTTTCCCCCTCCATTTCCACCACCACCCGTTGTAGTAGTAGGTTGTGGGACTAGCCCGACAACCCCTTGCATCTGTGATAGGTGTACATCGATCATTGGATCACCAAAAGACGGAAAGAGAATCGAACCCGGTACTAGTGACGAATTAGGGATCGAATTGGATGATGATGACGGGTATGTCCCGGTCATCTTCTTATCTTCCCTAATCGAATTAAGTTGGGGTCCTCCCTCAGGGCGCTTCACTACTGCTCGTTCACGACATTCATCCTTCTTGCTCGAGGCCTCCTGTATCTCCAGCTTCTTGAATATTCTGAGTTCCTCATTATCCGCATCGAGCTGACAGACGAAGCTCTCTTCTGCGCATCTCCTCGAGGTACTCGTCACACACCCCTTTAGCAGTCGATTTCCAGAATTCAGCCTCCCTCGACTTCTCGTCCATCGTGCGCCGTTCTTCTTGTGTTGCTTCCCTGACTTCCAAAATTGCATCCTGACGATGGCCACCTTCAATAGCAATCATCTGATCTTTCTTTGACACGTCGGACTCATACTGTTTGACGATCTCTTCCTTCTCTCGAAGGACGCACTCTGCTCTTTTCGACTCTTGTTCTGCAAATGCCGTCACGTCATTCAGTCTCGTCATTAGCTGCTCCCTGGAGTCCTCCAAAGAGTATACTTCAGGGCGCTTGACCAGTGCATGCTCCAACTGTGATTTCAGGCTTTGAACCATCTCCTCCTCGTTGAACTTCTCAATAGATGTAGACGATTCAATCCCCCTGATCTGCTGTTGATAAACGGAGATCTGCTTTGAAGCTTCACGGTGAACTTGATTTGCATGCGTTGCTGATTCCTGTGCAGCTGCCTTCTCGCTTGCCATGTAGGATCTCATCACTGCAATCTCCCGCTTCTGCTCCATGATCATTCCCTCAGCTTGTCTCATCTGTTGCATCATTGCATTCGACTCCATGTCTTTCTCCTCCCCGTATTGATATGCGTTCATTTCCGCCTCACGCATCTGTTGGGCTTCCGCCTCAAACTTGCGCCAGGCCTCTGCCATGTGGTGTTGGTGATGACTCACGAGATGCCCCGATTGCTTACTGGCAATCTCGCATCGTCTCTCCAGTTCTTGGATCCGGACGGTGCTTCCATAGTCCTCTTGATGAAGATTCGCCATTGCCGCTGACATTTCATCAATCGTCTTCTGATACTCCCCGATCTCCATCTCCATCTTGTTCTTCTCTTTGATTGCCGTGCGAAACTCGGCGCTCGTGGGTGATTTGGATCTCCCACCTTTCGATGTCCACCTCACGCTCTTTTGCGACGCCCGTGGGGTCGCCGGTGAAGATGATGATCTCCTCGGCGGAGAATCTCTCTGTTTCGATTCCTGATGAGTAGCGACTTGCTTCCATGATCTTGTTGGCGTGGATATGTCGCTGAATAGCGCGGATCCACCGCTTCCAGGTTCATCCTGCGAATCGGCAACCATATCCATGACCGCAGGAAGAGCCATCAATCCATTGGATCCCTCCGAACTGTCATTCCCAAAAGTTGCAGTACTTGGGCTCGCTGAAGATTCCATTGTACTGTGTGGGTTATTGTTCTTCTGCAGTTCCTGTACCCGCAATAAACCAGCTGTCTCTCCGTCCAGTGTAGAGCTTGTTGTACGGCTGATAACCTGTCAAGAGATGGCAAGGTGACGTCCCGTGGGACGCTGTCCACCGAGCCTCCAGCTGTGTGTACTCAACCACGTAGAAAGGGTATACGGCCAACCGTTATAGCCAAACCAGTGCAAACTGTTGCAAGGGGTAAAGTCCAATAACCACAAATGCACACTCTATATCAGCCGCGCGAATGAACCTGTTTTCTCTCTCAGTGATCGATCACAGGCGAACGTAGTTCATGTAAGACCTTGAGCCCTACTTGCAACTTGAGCGGCAACCAAAGGGACGTTCCAATCAACAAGAACATGGACCTCAGAACGGCTTCCCAATTTAGGCACGGGGCCAGGAGGGTTTTAACATCAAACAAACCTGGAAGCGGGCTACAGCTAGAAATGAAACCCACGACCTCTGAGCCTTTGCGACTGCACCAAAAGGTTCGGTACAAACAACTTGCCAAAGAAAAAAGTTCGAAGCCCTGACAGTCCGCTCCTGCTCTGGGGCAGGCACTCTCGGGCAAAACGCAGTCCCGATTCTTCTCAAATAAGGCCACCATCGTCTCCGAGTGCAGAAGTGATCGAAGCTTTGCGGCATCCAGGGTCCCATGTTGGCGGATGGCAGCTTCGAGCTTTGGAAACATCAGCACAGGGCCTCTGCGCCAACCCAAAGAGACGGTCGAGCATCAACTCTGCGGCGATGCCATTTGCTTAAAGCAATGAACAAGACATGCAAATGAGATGTAGGATTCAAGTTGTCAAGGACACGGAGATGGCAGGCAAAGGCACTATGAAACCATGGGGTTTGGCACCTGGGGATTCTTTGTTGGGTGGGAGATGGTGGGAGTGCGGTTCACTACCGCAATGAGCACGGCGCAGCTGGTCGGTGGCAACATGTGAACCCGACGGGTGTTGGACATTGGGCGGTCCCGCTGGCTTTTGCGCGGGAAGAATGGTCCAGCTCCTCCCACCATTTGCAAGCCATATCGGGAACATTTTGTTGCGTCACAGTGAGCTTGATTTTGCGAAGGGTCCAGCTGTGAGCCTCACACGTTCGAAAATCAAAAGGTAAACCAATCATGGGCAGTTCCCTTGGAGGAAAGGATCTATTTGAAGGGTGCAAAACTTCACATCAAGCGAGCGGCGAAAAAAGACGGGTACGTGTCAAAATCGGGGGACTTTTCAGACGACGGGTGTTTTTCCGATTTACCCAAAAAGGGCACCCTCAAAAAACAGACACAGACACACACCCACCCAAATGCACCGATTGCCTCCAGCTCCGGCGCTTCGTTGGTATACCCGATAGCGCGCCTTCAAGGATGGTGCAAAAGCATACGACCCCGGATCTAAGCACCTGATGACATGGGACGCCCCCGAGACCAAACAGCTGTGCGAGAGCAACATGACTCTGGCCACATGACGAAGGGCTATTTTGCCTTTGGGTGCGCTGCGTGCGCCTGCAATTCTTACTATAATTCTAAAAACTGAAAGAAGGGACCTGGCGAGCTGATTCTTCTCCAGGCGAACTCGCCATAAAATTGGCTGACGCATCAGTTCGCAGGACTGAGCTGTTGCAGGTTGCAGGCGAGACATTGCGGCTACCTCATGCTCTGATGCTGCTCTATTGATCTCGCTGTTCGCACACGACATGACACGAAGCACGAAATCGAGGAGCTGCAAACTGGTGGGAAAGACTGCTATCATCACAAAGTTTAAAGTTTAAACCCTCTGACATCGCGAATGGATCGACATCGATGGACACTCTCTCTTCAACTCTCCAGCGTGCCAACAAGGGCCCTGGCTTCTTGGCAGTAGGAGAATCTCGGTGTTCGCCGTGGCAAGGGGGGATTGCGCCTGCTGTCACAACGATCCAGGAACGCCGCATCTGCCGGGGTTTTTAATTAACATTCAAAAAGCAGCATTGAAATCACGGCCCCACCTACGCCCACATCATCGAACACCTGTTTCACTTGTGCATTTGTGAATGCAGCCGAAGGGTGGTGCGATATCAATCTGAGAACGTAAGTAATTTTGCTCGACGCCTTTCTTTCTGACAACTGTCTGCGGCAGGTGTGTGAAATATGCATGGCAAACATTGCTCAAGGCCATTCCAAACCTGAAAATCATTTGAGACCATCACACTCCCCATGCTGCTGTCTCTGCTGTCAAAAAGGCAAGAGATAACTACACCTGTTCTCAATGTGGGTATTTTGCATGGCTGCGAGCCAAAACTGAAGCCTCTCGTGTCCAAAAGTTGGGAGGCCGCACTTTGCATCCTCGCCAATGCCTGGCATCCTCATCCCACCTAGGCACCAGCCAACGACGTCCAAGTGCAACGATGGCCTCTGGTGAAGCAAACATACTCAAGCCACATGGCAGGATTTGCCGCAACGAGAGTGAGGCTGCAACTAAGATCAGCCAAGGAGGATGCAAGAACCGGCACATTGTTTACCAGGAAGGTCAGAAATCTGCCTTTGCGGGTACTGAACAAGAAAGCAAATCTGCAAGGAGTCAAGGCAGGGGTTGAGGTGTTTGTGGAATCCAAATATTAGACTCTAATTATTAGCTGAAGTGGAGACGCTTGCCTCGCGGCCAGTTTCCCTCGATATTCCTACTCCCCTACGCGTTTGGGGGGGGTTTCTAATATGCGGATGCTTTGCAAAATCCCTATACACATTCGAGTTGCACAAAGAACAGTCTTCCAATTTGATTGAAATATCACGGCACTGATAACCCAACACAACCCCCCACCAGCGAGGTCGATGCCAATGCTCCAAGTCGTAGGATTTTGGCTCGTGGGACAATGCCAATCCACCTTCCAGCTCTTCTAACAGAGCGCTGGCTCCAACACGACCGGCAAGGCGCCAGGCCGCGAAGGAGACGATGCGCCCCTTACTCCCGGCTAACAAGGCGCCGCCAGGGAGCATGACGTGACAAAATGTGAATCAAGTCACTCGCTGTACAATGCAGGCCTTGCCTGGCTCAAAACTTCTTCTGCAAGCGTTGTGCCCCGGTCAAGACTTCCAGGAAAGAAGCCTGCAAGCGAAGCCAAGAACATGCATCATACATCACACCAAAGTAAAGTGCCACGGTCCCTCTGTGGAAGACATGTTGCGACGTGTTCTGCGCGCCATATCGGTCGGCGACTGACCCCTGTCCCCCACCTTAGGCGGTTGCTGCCGTTCTTCGCGTTCTTGTTCAGGCTCAGCTTGTTCAGGCGTTGCAACTGTTTCCTGACAGGGACCATGATTGAAGTAAACAAGCAGCAATCAGCGTGGCCACCCGCCTCAGACGTTCCGTCTTGTAGGCGCTTCGTGGCAAGTGCTCTATTACGCTTCCGCTGCTTCTGAGAGACCTTGTACTTCACACGCAATTCCGACAGCTTCACTTGATTGGTGACGGACAAGGAATCTGGCAGCACGTGCTGGCGATCCGCCGCCGCCCTGAGGTGTGGTCGAAAGACCCTCCACCAAGATGCTGCACCAACACAGTGCTGGATGGCTTGCACCATCTCAGCTTCCGTCTTGCCAAACCTCCTCATCAACTGCTCCATCTCCGACTCGTACTGCAAGATGCGAGGGCATCGGTTGTTCTGCAGAAACATGGCATGGCCAGGCTGCTGCGGCGTTGGGCGACGCGTGCCGACGCATGCGCAGTAGAGGCACACATGAAGCTGATCGCAACTCGACTCCTGGAGCCGGAAGCAGCCCCCTCCGTTCCTCAGGGCCGAAGGCAAAGTCTGGGCAAATCACACAAATCACAGGCGCCCCGTGAATTCTCATAACGTTGACATAGTATGTTGGGATGTTAGCCAAGAGGCACAAGAAACATCAAACGAACATGGTGCAACGCGGTTGCCCTGGTCCAACAACCCCCTGCCTGTGGTTGTGAAGCAAGCACACACCAAACGGACGTGGAATGAAGAGGTAGACGGCCCAAATCGGCCAGTCCACAAAGTCGCTCGCCTTTCTGGCAATGTGCACCCAATGCACGTCGTGGGCTTCGTTCAACTGATCCTCTGACTTGCCCTGCTGCTGGCACCAAAAGTCGTAGACTTCGGGGCAAGCTGCTTCAACTGAACCCTCGTCAGAGACATTGAAACCGCCATCGCTGTGTCTGCTATTTTATCGGCCAACTGGGGGGCACGGTCTTGCTGAGGACGACACAACGGCGCAGCAAACAAGAGGTTCTGTCACATTCCGACAAAACTGGTCCATAAAAAGACAAAAGGCCACAGGCCGCCTCAAACCGCTCATATCGACCACTCAATGGCACAAGCGCCTGCAGCTCAGCCAGCTAGAGATCTTGTTGGCACCTGGCCGTCTCGCTGGGTCAGTTCCCAAGCTCCATTCCGACTTTGATGTTTCGTGCATGTCGAAGTGTCTTTGCTGAGGGTACCCTTTTTGTGCAGGAAACCGAAACGAAAGCCACCATTTTGGGGTCCCCTGAAAAAACACACCCATGCAAGGTTTGCCAAGCTGTTTGAGCGGGTGCAGTCGGTGGCTGCCTATCCAAGGCAGGAACTCTGAGCGGCAACGCATGCAGTTTCCCAAGCTTCACGCTAGCCACTTTGATGCACATGTGCAAGAACACGCTGCAAGTAAGGATCAACCTGTGCGGATAGTGCTTTTTGCAAGGGGGTCTGTACAAGCAATCCATGCGTGGCACATTCCCTGCCGCAAGCGTCTCTTTTTGGCTGCGAATCATGGTCCTTGTCACTGGCACAGAATTAACGACGTAAACTCCTCGCGAGAGGCGCTGCTCTTATCGGAAAGGTGTCGCTGCCTTCGTGAATGACATGGACAGGATCCGACTTTGATGCTGGACGAACTCTTCGGTAGATGCTCTGGTTGTCCTCAGGAAATTCCACATGCAATGCCTTGGGTGATTCAACTCGAACCTCGATTCCCAAATCCAAACAGGGTTTGAACTTTGGTCAAGGGATCTTTTCACGGGAGCCCGGTGTCCTCGGAACACTTTTGCGCTTGCCAAAGACTGTAGCTCTTCCGATCTGTGCTGCTGAGAGTTTTCTGCTTGTCACTTGCCAGCACAATGGGGCTCTCATTGATTTCAATTTTCTGACCTGGACCGCTGAAATTGGTCTGCTCCAAGCCGTGCAAGGTTGCTCGAATGTTCTTCTTGTTTCCCCGAGCCTTCAACCGCCGGGCTTTCACAACCTCCTGCAACTGTGCTTCCAAAGCCTTCACCTGGTGGGATTCCACCATCAGCACAGAGTGCAGCGTGGTAACCGCTTTCAGGTCTTTCTTTGCATCCTTGATCTTCTCCATTCGCTGCTTCTGTTTCGGCTCCGCCAGCTTCTGCAGCAGCCACTTTCGCTCCTCTGAGAGTCGCTCAGGTGGGACCGAGAACCAAAGCTCCTTTGGCCCATTCCGCGTGCTCGTGCTGCTTCCAATCGAAGCTTTGCGCCAAAGGCGTCTCTTTAAGAAGGCCGAAGCCATGGAAACACTGCAGCAGAATGCATGGGCCCCGAGACTGAGCGTGGGCGAGGCAGCGTCCCAAATCTTTCTCACAGCTCTTCGCTGAATCCAGAAAGCTTTTGATCAGGCTCAAGATCCACTCCCTCCTTGCGCTTACATGATAAGCCAAGTGGTTCAGCGTCTGCAGTATCACAGCTTCGGCATGATCTCTCCGAACAATTCGACATCATTGACATTTGCAAACTCCAGCGCCTGGTACTGCTCCATGACATTACGAAGCTGCATGCGACTTCGGTTGCTAGGATTTGTACTAATGATGCTTTGACGAAATGCATCCGTTGACCACTCACTTCCTGAGTTCCTTAGCTTTAGTCACTGGGTTTGTCTCAAAATCGGGGACACACATTGTGAACCCAACAAGTTGGTACTCTAAGAAGAAGGCGAGCAGCCCTGATGGGTTTTAGTGGTAAACATTTGAAACTTAGGACCGTTTGCGTTGCCAATCTCGCTGGATCGGACGTGACAGACAGGTCGACTCTGTCAATACATAATCTTAAGGAAAGCAGCGAAATAAGTATAAACAGCAGCCCGCACCCGTTCTTTTCCTAGGAGGTTGCCCTTTGAAAACCACATATTTGGTCTTTTCTGGCATGAGAATCCACATGGTATATCATGCGGCTGGGGCCTAAGAAGTGGGTGTGTGTACAGCTTTTCGGTGCCACATCTTTTGGTTCCCAGTCAGTATGATTCTTGAGGGACTTACTTTCTTTTTGATGTAGCGGTTGTGTGCTGATTAGCCCACAAATGTTCACTCAAACACCCGGTGGATTTATTCCGTGTTCCCGTTCTTTTTGCAGAGGGTGTCCCCTGAAAATCAGCTATAGCAAAAAGATGCCCCGTCTTTTTCGGAGGGCCAGTGGGGGGCTGGGTTGACGCAAGAACCGGCACATTGTTTATTGGGAAGGTCGGAAATCTGCCGTGGCGGGCACTGAGCAAGAAAACAAATAGGCGTAAAGGCAGGGGTTGAGGTGTTTGTGGAATCCAAATATTAGACTCTAATTATTAGCTGAAGTGGAGACGCTTGCCTCGCGGCCAGTGTCCCTCAATATTCCTACTCCCCTACGCGCTTGGGGGTTTTCGAACATGCGGATGCTTTGCAAAATCCCTATACACATTCGAGTTGCGCAAAGCACAGTCTTCCGATTTGATTGAAATATCACGGCACTGATAACCCAACACAACCCCCCACCAGCGAGGTCGATGCCAATGCACCAAGTCGTAGGATTTTGGCTCGTGGGACAATGCCAATCCACCTTCCAGCTCTTCCAACAGAGCGCTGGCTCCAACACGACCGGCAAGGCGCCAGGCCGAAGGAGACGTGCAAACGAATTCGCCCCTTACTCCCGGCTAACAAGGCGCCGCCAGGGAGCATGACGTGACACAATGTGAATCAAGTCACTCGCTGTACAATGCAGGCCTTGCCTGGCTCAAAACTTCTTCTGCAAGCGTTGTGCCCCGGTCAAGACTTCCAGGAAAGAAGCCTGCAAGCGAAGCCAAGAACATGCATCATACATCACACCAAAGTAAAGTGCCACGGTCCCTCTGTGGAAGACATGTTGCGACGTGTTCTGCGCGCCATAATCGTTGGCGACGGACCCCGTCCCCCACCTTAGGCGGATTTGCCTGCCGTTTCTTCGCGTTCTGTTCAGGCTGCAGCTTGGTTTCAGGCGTTGAACTGCTTCCTGACAGGGACCTTGATCGGCGATTGGGCAGCATGCAATCAGCGTGGCCACCCGCCTCAGACGTTCCGTCTTGTAGGCGCTTCGTGGCAAGTGCTCTATTACGCTTCCGCTGCTTCTGAGAGACCTTGTACTTCACACGCAACTCCGACAGCTTCACGCGATTGGTGACGGACAAGGAATCTGGCAGCACGTGCTGGCGATCCGCCGCCGCACTGAGGCGTGGTCGAAAGACCCTCCACCAAGATGCTGCACCAACACAGTGCTGGATGGCTTGCACCATCTCAGCTTCCGTCTTGCCAAACCTCCTCATCAACTGCTCCATCTCCGACTCGTACTGCAAGATGCGAGGGCATCGGTTGTTCTGCAGAAACATGGCATGGCCAGGCTGCTGCGGCGTTGGGCGACGCGTGCCGACGCATGCGCAGTAGAGGCACACATGAAGCTGATCGCAACTCGACTCCTGGAGCCGGAAGCAGCCCCCTCCGTTCCTCAGGGCCGAAGGCAAAGTCTGGGCAAATCACACAAATCACAGGCGCCCCGTGAATTCTCATAACGTTGACATAGTATGTTGGGATGTTAGCCAAGAGGCACAAGAAACATCAAACGAACATGGTGCAACGCGGTTGCCCTGGTCCAACAACCCCCTGCCTGTGGTTGTGAAGCAAGCACACACCAAACGGACGTGGAATGAAGAGGTAGACGGCCCAAATCGGCCAGTCCACAAAGTCGCTCGCCTTTCTGGCAATGTGCACCCAATGCACGTCGTGGACTTCGTTCAACTGATCCTCTGACTTGCCCTGCTGCTGGCACCAAAAGTCGTAGACTTCCGGGGCAAGCTGCTTCAACTGAACCCTCGTCAGAGACATTGAAACCGCCATTGCTGTGTCTGCTATTTTATCGGCCAACTGGGGGGCAACGGTCTTGCTGAGGACGACACAACGGCGCAGCAAACAAGGGTTCTGTCACATTCCGACAAAACTGGTCCATAAAAAGACAAAAGGCCACAGGCCGCCTCAAACCGCTCATATCGACCACTCAATGGCACAAGCGCCTGCAGCTCAGCCAGCTAGAGATCTTGTTGGCACCTGGCCGTCTCGCCGGGTCAGTTCCCAAACTCCATTCCGACTTTGATGTTTCGTGCATGTCGAAGTGTCTTTGCTGAGGGTACCCTTTTTGTTCAGGAAACCGAAACGAAAGCCACCATTTTGGGGTCCCCTGAAAAAACACACCCATGTAAGGTTTGCCAAGCTGTTTGAGCGGGTGCAGTCCGTGGCTGCCTATCCAAGGCAGGAACTCTGAGCGGCAACGCATGCAGTTTCCCAAGCTTCACGCTAGCCACTTTGATGCACATGTGCAAGAACACGCTGCAAGTAAGGATCAACCTGTGCGGATAGTGCTTTTTGCAAGGGGGTCTGTACAAGCAATCCATGCGTGGCACATTCCCTGCCGCAAGCGTCTCTTTTTGGCTGCGAGTCATGGTCCTTGTCACTGGCGCAGAATTAACGACGTAAACTCCTCGCGAGAGGCTCTGCTCTTATCGGAAAGGTGTCGCTGCCTTCGTGAATGACATGGACAGGATCCGACTTTGATGCTGGACGAACTCGTCGGTACATGCTCTGGTTGTCCTCAGGAAATTCCACATGCAATGCCTTGGGTGATTCAACTCGAACCTCGATTCCCAAATCCAAACAGGGTTTGAACTTTGGTCAAGGGATCTTTTCACGGGAGCCCGGTGTCCTCGGAACACTTTTGCGCTTGCCAAAGACTGTAGCTCTTCCGATCTGTGCTGCTGAGAGTTTTCTGCTTGTCACTTGCCAGCACAATGGGGCTCTCATTGATTGAAATTTTCTGACCTGGGCCGCTGAAATTGGTCTGCTCCAAGCCGTGCAAGGTTGCTCGAATGTTCTTCTTGTTTCCCTGAGCCTTCAACCGCTTGGCTTTCACAACCTCCTGCAACTGTGCTTCCAAAGCCTTCACCTGGTGGAATTCCACCATCAGCACAGAGTGCAGCGTGGTAACCGCTTTCAGGTCTTTCTTTGCATCCTTGATCTTCTCCATTCGCTGCTTCTGTTTCGGCTCCGCCAGCTTCTGCAGCAGCCACTTTCGCTCCTCTGAGAGTCGCTCAGGTGGGACGAGAACCAAAGCTCCTTTGGCCCATTCCGCGTGCTCGTCTGCTTCCAATCAAAGCTTTGCGCCAAAGGCGTCTCTTTAAGAAGGCCGAAGCCATGGAAACACTGCAGCAGAATGCATGGGCCCCGAGACTGAGCGTGGGCGAGGCAGCGTCCCAAATCTTTCTCACAGCTCTTTGAATCCAAGCTTTTGATCAGGCTCAAGATCCACTCCCTCCTTGCGCTTACATGATAAGCCAAGTGGTTCAGCGTCTGCAGTATCACAGCTTCGGCATGATCTCTCCGAACAATTCGACATCATTGACATTTGCAAACTCCAGCGCCTGGTGCTGCTCCATGACATTACGAAGCTGCATGCGACTTCGGTTGCTAGGATTTGTACTAATGATGCTTTGACGAAATGCATCCGTTGACCACTCACTTCCTGAGTTCCTTAGCTTTAGTCACTGGGTTTGTCTCAAAATCGGGGACACACATTGTGAACCCAACAAGTTTGTACTCTAAGAAGAAGGCGAGCAGCCCTGATGGGTTTTAGTGGTAAACATTTGAAACTTAGGACCGTTTGCGTTGCCAATCTCGCTGGATCGGACGTGACAGACAGGTCGACTCTGTCAATACATGATCTTAAGGAAAGCAGCGAAATAAGTATAAACAGCAGCCCGCACCCGTTCTTTTCCTAGGAGGTTGCCCTTTGAAAACCACATATTTGGTCTTTTCTGGCATGAGAATCCACATGGTATATCATGCGGCTGGGGCCTAAGAAGTGGGTGTGTGTACAGCTTTTCGGTGCCACATCTTTTGGTTCCCAGTCAGTATGATTCTTGAGGGACTTACTTTCTTTTTGATGTAGCGGTTGTGTGCTGATTAGCCCACAAATGTTCACTCAAACACCCGGTGGATTTATTCCGTGTTCCCGTTCTTTTTGCAGAGGGTGTCCCCTGAAAATCAGCTATAGCAAAAAGATGCCCCGTCTTTTTCGGAGGGCCAGTGGGGGGCTGGGTTGACGCAAGAACCGGCACATTGTTTATTGGGAAGGTCGGAAATCTGCCGTGGCGGGTACTGAACAAGAAAACAAATCTGCAAGGCGTAAAGGCAGGGGTTGAGGTGTTTGTGGAATCCAAATATTAGACTCTAATTATTAGCTGAAGTGGAGACGCTTGCCTCGCGGCCAGTGTCCCTCGATATTCCTACTCCCCTACGCGTTTGGGGGTTTTCGAACATGCGGATGCTTTGCAAAATCCCTATACACATTCGAGTTGCGCAAAGCACAGTCTTCCGATTTGATTGAAATATCACGGCACTGATAACCCAACACAACCCCCCACCAGCGAGGTCGATGCCAATGCACCAAGTCGTAGGATTTTGGCTCGTGGGACAATGCCAATCCACCTTCCAGCTCTTCCAACAGAGCGCTGGCTCCAACACGACCGGCAAGGCGCCAGGCCGAAGGAGACGTGCAAACGAATTCGCCCCTTACTCCCGGCTAACAAGGCGCCGCCAGGGGAGCATGACGTGACACAATGTGAATCAAGTCACTCGCTGTACAATGCAGGCCTTGCCTGGCTCAAAACTTGTTCTGCAAGCGTTGTGCCCCGGTCAAGACTTCCAGGAAAGAAGCCTGCAAGCGAAGCCAAGAACATGCATCACACATCACCCCAAAGTAAAGTGCCACGGTCCCTCTGTGGAAGACATGTTGCGACGTGTTCTGCGCTCCATATCGGTTGGCGACTGACCCCGTCCCCCGCCTTACGGTTGCTGCCGTTCTCGCGTTCCGTTTCAGGCTCAGCTTGTTCAGGCGTTGCAACTGTTTCCTGACAGGGACCATGATTGAAGTAAACAAGCAGTAATCAGCGTGGCCACCCGCCTCAGACGTTCCGTCTTGTAGGCGCTTCGTGGCAAGTGCTCTAGTACGCTTCCGCTGCTTCTGAGACACCTTGTACTTCACACGCAATTCCGACAGCTTCACTCGATTGGTGACGGACAAGGAATCTGGCAGCACGTGCTGGCGATCCGCCGCCGCCCTGAGGCGTGGTCGAAAGACCCTCCACCAAGATGCTGCACCAACACAGTGCTGGATGGCTTGCACCATCTCAGCTTCCGTCTTGCCAAACCTCCTCATCAACTGCTCCATCTCCGACTCGTACTGCAAGATGCGAGGGCATCGGTTGTTCTGCAGAAACATGGCATGGCCAGGCTGCTGCGGCGTTGGGCGACGCGTGCCGACGCATGCGCAGTAGAGGCACACATGAAGCTGATCGCAACTCGACTCCTGGAGCCGGAAGCAGCCCCCTCCGTTCCTCAGGGCCGACGGCAAAGTCTGGGCAAATCACACAAATCACAGGCGCCCCGTGCGTTCTCATAACGTTGACATAGTATGTTGGGATGTTAGCCAAGAGGCACAAGAAACATCAAACGAACATGGTGCAACACGGTTGCCCTGGTCCAACAACCCCCTGCCTGTGGTTGTGAAGCAAGCACACACCAAACGGACGTGGAATGAAGAGGTAGACGGCCCAAATCGGCCAGTCCACAAAGTCGCTCGCCTTTCTGGCAATGTGCACCCAATGCACGTCGTGGACTTCGTTCAACTGATCCTCTGACTTGCCCTGCTGCTGGCACCAAAAGTCGTAGACTTCCGGGGCAAGCTGCTTCAACTGAACCCTCGTCAGAGACATTGAAACCGCCATTGCTGTGTCTGCTATTTTATCGGCCAACTGGGGGCAACGGTCTTGCTGAGGACGACACAACGGCGCAGCAAACAAGGGTTCTGTCACATTCCGACAAAACTGGTCCATAAAAAGACAAAAGGCCACAGGCCGCCTCAAACCGCTCATATCGACCACTCAACGGCACAAGCGCCTGCAGCTCAGCCAGCTAGAGATCTTGTTGGCACCTGGCCGTCTCGCTGCGTCAGTTCCCAAGCTCCATTCCGACTTTGATGTTTCGTGCATGTCGAAGTGTCTTTGCTGAGGGTACCCTTTTTGTTCAGGAAACCGAAACGAAAGCCACCATTTTGGGGTCCCTTAAAAAGACACACCCATGTAAGGTTTGCCAAGCTGTTTGAGCGGGTGCAGTCCGTGGCTGCCTATCCAAGGCAGGAACTCTGAGTGGCAACGCATGCAGTTTCCCAAGCTTAACGCTAGCCACTTTGACGCACATGTACAAGAACACTCTGCAAGTAAGGATCAACATGTGCGGATACTGCTTTTTGCAAGGGGGTCTGTACAAGCAATCCATGCGTGGCACATTCCATGCCGCAAGCGTCTCTTTTTGGCTGCGAATCATGGTCCTTGTCACTGGCACAGAATTGTTCGACGTCGACTCCTCGCGAGCGGCATTGCTCTTGTCGCAAAGGTGTCGCTGCCTTCGTGAATGACATGGACAGGATCCGACTTTGATGCTGGACGAACTCGTCGGTAGATGCTCTGGTTGTCCTCAGGAAATTCCACATGCAATGCCTTGGGTGATTCAACTCGAACCTCGATTCCCAAATCCAAACAGGGTTTGAACTTTGGTCAATGGATCTTTTCACGGGAGCCCGGTGTCCTCGGAACACTTTTGCGCTTGCAAAGGACTGTAGCTCTTCCGATCTGTGCTGCTGAGAGTTGCCTGCTTGTCACTTGCCAGCACAATGGGGCTCTCATTGATTTCAATTTTCTGACCTGGACCGCTGAAATTGGTCTGCTCCAAGCCGTGCAAGGTTGCTCGAATGTTCTTCTTGTTTCCCCGAGCCTTCAACCGCTTGGCTTTCACAACCTCCTGCAACTGTGCTTCCAAAGCCTTCACCTGGTGGAATTCCACCATCAGCACAGAGTGCAGCGTGGTAACCGCTTTCAGGTCTTTCTTTGCATCCTTGATCTTCTCCATTCGCTGCTTCTGTTTCGGCTCCGCCAGCTTCTGCAGCAGCCACTTTCGCTCCTCTGAGAGTCGCTCAGGTGGGACGAGAACCAAAGCTCCTTTGGCCCATTCCGCGTGCTCGTGCTGCTTCCAATCAAAGCTTTGCGCCAAAGGCGTCTCTTTAAGAAGGCCGAAGCCATGGAAACACTGCAGCAGAATGCATGGGCCCCGAGACTGAGCGTGGGCGAGGCAGCGTCCCAAATCTTTCTCACAGCTCTTCGCTGAATCCAGAAAGCTTTTGATCAGGCTCAAGATCCACTCCCTCCTTGCGCTTACATGATAAGCCAAGTGGTTCAGCGTCTGCAGTATCACAGCTTCGGCATGATCTCTCCGAACAATTCGACATCATTGACATTTGCAAACTCCAGCGCCTGGTGCTGCTCCATGACATTACGAAGCTGCATGCGACTTCGGTTGCTAGGATTTGTACTAATGATGCTTTGACGAAATGCATCCGTTGACCACTCACTTCCTGAGTTCCTTAGCTTTAGTCACTGGGTTTGTCTCAAAATCGGGGACACACATTGTGAACCCAACAAGTTTGTACTCTAAGAAGAAGGCGAGCAGCCCTGATGGGTTTTAGTGGTAAACATTTGAAACTTAGGACCGTTTGCGTTGCCAATCTCGCTGGATCGGACGTGACAGACAGGTCGACTCTGTCAATACATGATCTTAAGGAAAGCAGCGAAATAAGTATAAACAGCAGCCCGCACCCGTTCTTTTCCTAGGAGGTTGCCCTTTGAAAACCACATATTTGGTCTTTTCTGGCATGAGAATCCACATGGTATATCATGCGGCTGGGGCCTAAGAAGTGGGTGTGTGTACAGCTTTTCGGTGCCACATCTTTTGGTTCCCAGTCAGTATGATTCTTGAGGGACTTACTTTCTTTTTGATGTAGCGGTTGTGTGCTGATTAGCCCACAAATGTTCACTCAAACACCCGGTGGATTTATTCCGTGTTCCCGTTCTTTTTGCAGAGGGTGTCCCCTGAAAATCAGCTATAGCAAAAAGATGCCCCGTCTTTTTCGGAGGGCCAGTGGGGGGCTGGGTTGACGCAAGAACCGGCACATTGTTTATTGGGAAGGTCGGAAATCTGCCGTGGCGGGTACTGAACAAGAAAACAACTCTGCAAGGCGTAAAGGCAGGGGTTGAGGTGTTTGTGGAATCCAAATATTAGACTCTAATTATTAGCTGAAGTGGAGACGCTTGCCTCGCGGCCAGTGTCCCTCGATATTCCTACTCCCCTACGCGTTTGGGGGTTTTCGAACATGCGGATGCTTTGCAAAATCCCTATACACATTCGAGTTGCGCAAAGCACAGTCTTCCGATTTGATTGAAATATCACGGCACTGATAACCCAACACAACCCCCCACCAGCGAGGTCGATGCCAATGCACCAAGTCGTAGGATTTTGGCTCGTGGGACAATGCCAATCCACCTTCCAGCTCTTCCAACAGAGCGCTGGCTCCAACACGACCGGCAAGGCGCCAGGCCGAAGGAGACGTGCAAACGAATTCGCCCCGTACTCCCGGCTAACAAGGCGCCGCCAGGGGAGCATAACGTGACACAATGTGAATCAAGTCACTCGCTGTACAATGCAGGCCTTGCCTGGCTCAAAACTTGTTCTGCAAGCGTTGTGCCCCGGTCAAGACTTCCAGGAAAGAAGCCTGCAAGCGAAGCCAAGAACATGCATCACACATCACCCCAAAGTAAAGTGCCACGGTCCCTCTGTGGAAGACATGTTGCGACGTGTTCTGCGCTCCATATCGGTTGGCGACTGACCCCGTCCCCCGCCTTACGGTTGCTGCCGTTCTCGCGTTCCGTTTCAGGCTCAGCTTGTTCAGGCGTTGCAACTGTTTCCTGACAGGGACCATGATTGAAGTAAACAAGCAGCAATCAGCGTGGCCACCCGCCTCAGACGTTCCGTCTTGTAGGCGCTTCGTGGCAAGTGCTCTAGTACGCTTCCGCTGCTTCTGAGACACCTTGTACTTCACACGCAATTCCGACAGCTTCACTCGATTGGTGACGGACAAGGAATCTGGCAGCACGTGCTGGCGATCCGCCGCCGCCCTGAGGCGTGGTCGAAAGACCCTCCACCAAGACGCTGCACCAACACAGTGCTGGATGGCTTGCACCATCTCAGCTTCCGTCTTGCCAAACCTCCTCATCAACTGCTCCATCTCCGACTCGTACTGCAAGATGCGAGGGCATCGGTTGTTCTGCAGAAACATGGCATGGCCAGGCTGCTGCGGCGTTGGGCGACGCGTGCCGACGCATGCGCAGTAGAGGCACACATGAAGCTGATCGCAACTCGACTCCTGGAGCCGGAAGCAGCCCCCTCCGTTCCTCAGGGCCGAAGGCAAAGTCTGGGCAAATCACACAAATCACAGGCGCCCCGTGCGTTCTCATAACGTTGACATAGTATGTTGGGATGTTAGCCAAGAGGCACAAGAAACATCAAACGAACATGGTGCAACACGGTTGCCCTGGTCCAACAACCCCCTGCCTGTGGTTGTGAAGCAAGCACACACCAAACGGACGTGGAATGAAGAGGTAGACGGCCCAAATCGGCCAGTCCACAAAGTCGCTCGCCTTTCTGGCAATGTGCACCCAATGCACGTCGTGGACTTCGTTCAACTGATCCTCTGACTTGCCCTGCTGCTGGCACCAAAAGTCGTAGACTTCCGGGGCAAGCTGCTTCAACTGAACCCTCGTCAGAGACATTGAAACCGCCATCGCTGTGTCTGCTATTTTATCGGCCAACTGGGGGTCAACGGTCTTGCTGAGGACGACACAACGGCGCAGCAAACAAGGGTTCTGTCACATTCCGACAAAACTGGTCCATAAAAAGACAAAAGGCCACAGGCCGCCTCAAACCGCTCATATCGACCACTCAACGGCACAAGCGCCTGCAGCTCAGCCAGCTAGAGATCTTGTTGGCACCTGGCCGTCTCGCTGCGTCAGTTCCCAAGCTCCATTCCGACTTTGATGTTTCGTGCATGTCGAAGTGTCTTTGCTGAGGGTACCCTTTTTGTTCAGGAAACCGAAACGAAAGCCACCATTTTGGGGTCCCTTAAAAAGACACACCCATGTAAGGTTTGCCAAGCTGTTTGAGCGGGTGCAGTCCGTGGCTGCCTATCCAAGGCAGGAACTCTGAGTGGCAACGCATGCAGTTTCCCAAGCTTAACGCTAGCCACTTTGACGCACATGTACAAGAACACTCTGCAAGTAAGGATCAACATGTGCGGATACTGCTTTTTGCAAGGGGGTCTGTACAAGCAATCCATGCGTGGCACATTCCATGCCGCAAGCGTCTCTTTTTGGCTGCGAATCATGGTCCTTGTCACTGGCACAGAATTAACGACGTCGACTCCTCGCGAGCGGCATTGCTCTTGTCGCAAAGGTGTCGCTGCCTTCGTGAATGACATGGACAGGATCCGACTTTGATGCTGGACGAACTCGTCGGTAGATGCTCTGGTTGTCCTCAGGAAATTCCACATGCAATGCCTTGGGTGATTCAACTCGAACCTCGATTCCCAAATCCAAACAGGGTTTGAACTTTGGTCAATGGATCTTTTCACGGGAGCCCGGTGTCCTCGGAACACTTTTGCGCTTGCCAAAGACTGTAGCTCTTCCGATCTGTGCTGCTGAGAGTTTTCTGCTTGTCACTTGCCAGCACAATGGGGCTCTCATTGATTTCAATTTTCTGACCTGGACCGCTGAAATTGGTCTGCTCCAAGCCGTGCAAGGTTGCTCGAATGTTCTTCTTGTTTCCCCGAGCCTTCAACCGCCGGGCTTTCACAACCTCCTGCAACTGTGCTTCCAAAGCCTTCACCTGGTGGGATTCCACCATCAGCACAGAGTGCAGCGTGGTAACCGCTTTCAGGTCTTTCTTTGCATCCTTGATCTTCTCCATTCGCTGCTTCTGTTTCGGCTCCGCCAGCTTCTGCAGCAGCCACTTTCGCTCCTCTGAGAGTCGCTCAGGTGGGACGAGAACCAAAGCTCCTTTGGCCCATTCCGCGTGCTCGTGCTGCTTCCAATCAAAGCTTTGCGCCAAAGGCGTCTCTTTAAGAAGGCCGAAGCCATGGAAACACTGCAGCAGAATGCATGGGCCCTGAGACTGCGCGTGGGCGAGGCAGCGTCCCAAATCTTTCTCACAGCTCTTCGCTGAATCCAGGAAGCTTTTGATCAGGCTCAAGATCCACTCCCTCCTTGCGCTTACGTGATAAGCCAAGTGGTTCAGCGTGTGCAGCATCGCAGCAGCGGCATGATCCAGCTCTTCCACCAACGCGCAAACTTTTCGATCTGAAAGATTCTTGCAGCACACACTGCGAAGGATGTCGGACCATGTCGTCAACAGCTGCTCCACATACAGGAAAAAGTTGCTGTTCTTCTCCAGGACCACTCCAATGTCGTTGTGCCCCTCCGGGCAGAGATGGAGGTTGATCAAAAGGTTCTTTACACGGAATGACAATTGGGGAAAAACATTCCCCATTGATCAACCCCCACATGCCTCCAGGTGTTTCGTGTCGGAACCGAACGCCCAGTCAAAGGCCACGAGCAGGCCCTCGTTGAAGGGGTTCGCAAGGAAGCAGTTGTGCTTCTGCTTGGGGCGCACCTTCTGGCTCAGTCGTCCCCATGGGTGTCTTTCCTGGAACTCCCTTCTTTGGATGGCTTTAAAGGGAAGCCAAAGGGACAACAACTTTGAGACACACCCAAACAGTTGTTGCTATTGAATTCTTGAATCTCAAGGCACATTGAGGTAAGTCTCAAACTTCTTGTCTGTCAAGAAGTCGCTGACTCGCTCGATCCATAGGAGCTTCCCGGGCCACACTCGAGACATCCCTAGGGGCAGTCTGATGCTTCAACATGGGTTTGTCCCGACCTCCAAAAAACCTGTTCTCCGTTTGGTTCCTTTTGAAACCAAAAGGGGTTCCCCCAAAAAAGGAACCCAAATAAGAATCGAGGGTATGTCCTGTAATCCCGTGTCTCCGAAAGGTAAGTGAAACATGGCCGTCCTTTGGCATCTTGACGTGCCAAACATGCGCCAACAAAGCACACATCTTAAGATCCTTAAACTCAGGATGGCTCCGGTGTCGGTTTTGAATGCCTTCTGTACAGGTGGGAGTGTGTGCTTTCCCGAAAGCATCGCGAAGGGTTCTTCCGTGCGGAGCCCTTGCACAAGTTACACGGAGCCAAGTTGCACAGAGCCAAGTTACATAGAGCCAAGTTACATAGAGCCAAGTTACATAGAGCCAAGTTACATAGAGCCAAGTTACATAGAGCCAAGCAAGTTACATAGAGCCAAGCAAGTTACATAGAGCCAAGCAAGTTACATAGAGCCAAGTTACATAGAGCCAAGTTACATAGAGCCAAGCAAGTTACATAGAGCCAAGCAAGTTCCATAGAGCCAAGTTCCATAGAGCCAAGTTACATAGAGCCAAGTTACATAGAGCCAAGTTACATAGAGCCAAGTTACATAGAGCCAAGTTACATAGAGCCAAGTTACATAGAGCCAAGTTTCATAGAGCCAAGTTACACAGAGCCAAGTGGCAAAGAGCCAAGTTACATAGAGCCAAGTTACATAGAGCCAAGTTACATAGAGCCAAGTTACATAGAGCCAAGTTACATAGTGCCAAGTTTCATAAGGAGCCAAGTTACACAGAGCCAAGTGGCACAGAGCCAAGGTTAGAGCTTGCCTAGAGCTTCGGCGTAAGCAGCTATGTAAGTTAGTTTAGGTTTCTACTGCGCCGGGGCGGGAGTTTGATCATCGCTCGGGATTGCGACTGTGGGGTTTCAAAATTATGGATTTAAGCTAATTTTAATGTCCGACCCGTGCACTTAAGCCCTGCTCCTGTGTCTGCACCTCTGATCGGAGCACATGTCAGAGCCGGGACACGGTTGAATGTTTTATTTTGTTTTGGGCACTCGTGAAAGCAATGCAAAAACCGGCTGCGCTACAGAAAGTGCATTTGGCAGCAACAATGGATGCAAACGCCTTCGTCAAAGTAATTCACTACTGGAAGGGCAGCCTGTCAAATCCTGTGGGGTCACTGTGCTTTTTCTTTTGATTGCTGAATTACCCGGGGGCGGGGCAAAATCGCTGAGTCAAGAAATCCTTCAAAATCACGGATTTAAGGGGGCCCGTGTACTTAAGAGTCGGCCCGTTGTCTGAAACCACGGAACTTGCTTATTTTCAGAATTTGCAAGATTCGGTGGCTTTTTGTGTGACAAGAGCAAATTTTGCTGAATCATTGAGCAACCTTAATTAACATGGTGGGACCGAGCCGTGACGCAATCAAAAACGTCGCATGTCAGAAGTGCACAATGTTGTTGTTTTTTTTGCCAAATGTGGAGTGATGGCAAGGATTTGTGGGAATGCTGGATGATGGTTGACAGTTTATAGCTTAGAGTGAAGGCCGTGAGAATGGGGCTCGCTAAGCATATGGAGATGGTGCTGTAGTCAGGGCAGCTAGTACTCAAGTGGGAGCTCCTGCCTTGATCACCGGGCCACATTCCATAAGCACGGCCAGCCAAGAATGTTAGTGCAGCCAAATTTCGTTGAGTGCAGACAAAATTCCTTTAGCACGTGCAGAAAAAAGAGCGGTGCAGCCGGAAATTCCTCATGCGCAGCCGAAGTTCCTTGATTGCACCCCCCCCCGAATTGAAGCCCAAATTGCCGACAGCCAAAATTCCTTAAGTGCAGCCAAAATTCCTTAAGTGCAGCCACCATTTCCTTAAGCGCAACCAAAATTCCTTAAGTGCAGCTTAAATTCCGTAAGTGCAGCAAAATTCCTTAAGTGCAGGGTTAATTAGCTTAAATTCAGGGGGGGGGTGCACTTAAGGGTTTTGGCTCCTGCTCGAGATGAATCTGGTGGTGAATTTAGTGGTTTTAGATGCTGAAACAGCGCTTTTGCGCCCCGAAAACCCTTAAATTCACCACCAATTCATCTCGAGCAGGGTCAAAATCCTTAAGTGCACCCCCCCCCCCTGAATTTAAGCTAATTAACCCTGCACTTAAGGAATTTTGCTGCACTTAAGGAACTTTGGCTGCACTTCAAGAATTTTGGCTGCGCTTAAGGAATTTTGGTTGCGCTCAAGGAATTTTGGCTGCACTTAAGGAATTTTGGCCGCACTTATGGAATTTTGGCTGCCGGTGACTTAGCTTAGATTTGGGTGGTGCACATAAGGAATTTGATCCGCCCTTTAGCCGCACTGAAGGCATGTTGGTTGAGTTTTGCACTAAAGTTTTGTTGGCTGGGCCCAAGTAAAAGTCACTTGCGTTGCGGCGTATGTTGAATCTCAAGCTGGCAGAGCAAAAGTCGTGAGAATGCTGGTCTCACTGTAAAGGCACGTTGCGTGACAGTAAATTTGCATCGTCTCTTGATAAATGGGCTCAGTTGTTGATGTTCCCACGCCACTTTGTTTGTATGGGGCTGCCTTTTTTTGACCTTGCAACGCGTGAGTACATTTTAATTTGATATTGGGCCTTGCTGCACTGAATTGCTTGGATCCATGGGTGTTTCCGTGGGGGTTCTGAAGAAGGCTGTTGCTGAAACTGGGGTATGTGCCGCGTTTTTCATTGCTGACCTCGGCAGATCCTGAAAACATGTCTATCCTCACCAATTGTTCACACCCTGCTTCAATCGGGCTAAACGCGCCAGAAACGTGCTTAAGTGCAGCGGGCGACCTTGATAATTTGCATAAATCCGTAATTAGCCCCCCACAAACTGACTCCTTGAAATGGTCTGGTGTGTGCCACCCACAGTTTATACTGATTTTGCTCTGGTTTGCAACATGTGTGATCTGAGTCAGAAAATGCCCAAAACAACACATTCACCGGGTGTGAGTTTCAAAGGCTCAAACAAGGCAATGACATCAAGTCCGTATTTTGCATTGTTCCAAAAATACATAGCCTTTTCGGGCAGTTCAGCTTCGAAAACACACAAGTTTGAAAATCATTGGGTTTCAGCAACACTGAAAACTGCCCCACCCTTCAGTACACGGGCCCCCCCTTAAATCCATAATATTGAAAGCCAACAATTGCGACCCTCTGCGGAGATCCGCGTGGTCGATGTTAAAAAACTGGTGACTTTTTACGACTTTTAACATGCGTGCGCGACCCTCTGCGGAGATTCGCGTGGTCGAGGTTCAAAAACTGTGGACTTTTTACGATATCTGCAAGCCGCGCGCGACCCTCTGCGGAGATTCGCGTGGTCGAGGTTCAAAAACTGAGGACTTTTCACGATTTCTGCAAGCTGCGCGCGACCCTCTGCGGAGATTCGCGTGGTCGAGGTTCAAAAACTGAGGACTTTTTACGATATCTGCAAGCCGCGCACGACCCTCTGCGGAGATTCGCGTGGTCGAGGTTCAAAAACTGAGGACTTTTTACGATTTCTGCAAGCCGCGCGCAACCCTCTGCGGAGATTCGCGTGGTCGAGGTTCAAAAACTGAGGACTTTTTACGATTTCTGCAAGCCGCGCACGACCCTCTGCGGGGATCGTGCGTGTCGAAGCGCTCTCGCTGTGGCGCCGTGCGAATTTGTTGCTCGCGAAATGGCCTTTGGAAGTTGTCTCGTGGCTCGCGCGCCTGCTTTCGCAATCCCGCGGTCGCGGGTTCGATTCCCCCTGGTCCGCGGCAGCTCCGGCTTGAAAATCGCAGCTTTTAAGTACAAACGTAGTACGCGGAGCGTGCTCCTGCAGCTCCGGCTGGAAAACCGCAACTTTTAAGTACAGACATAGTATGTCCCGCAGCTCCGGTTGGAAAATCGCAACTTTTAAGTACAACGTAGTACGCGGAGCACACTCCCGCAGCTCCGGCTGGAAAATCGCAACTTTTAAGTACAAAAATAGTACGCGAAGTACATTCCCACAGCTCCGGCTGCACTTGCGCAGAGCAACTTGGGCAGAGTCACTTGCGCAGAGCAACTTGCGCTCTGCGAATTGCACAGAGCACTTGCACAAAGCACTTGCGCAGAGCAACTTGCACAGACCAACTTGCGCAGAGCACATGCGCAAAGCGCTTGCACGAAGCAACTGGCGCAGAGCACTTGCGCAGAGCAGCTTGCTCAGAGCACTTGCGCAGAGCAACCTGCACAGAGCACTTGCGTGCAGCAGCGTGCAGAAAGCAACTTGCGCGCAGCAGCCTGGAACAATGCAGCTTGCGCAGACCACTTTCGTGAGAAATCGTGCAGCGCAACTTGCGCAAAGCACATTGCGCTGAGCAGACTTGCGCAGAGCCACGCTTCACAGAGCCAAGTTGCGCAGAGCCACTCGCGTAAAGTAGCTTGCGCGCGCCAGGTAGCAGCGCGCCAAGTTGCGCAGAGCCAAGTTACATAGAGCCAAGTCGCACAGAGCCAAGTTGCGCCGAGCCAAGTGGCACAGAGCCAAGTTGCACGGAGCCAAGTTGCACAGAGCCGAGTGGCACAGAGCCAAGTGGCACAAAGCCAAGTGGCACAGAGCCCAGTGGCACAGAGCCAAGTGGCGCAGAGCCAAGTGGAACAGAGCCAAGTGGCGCAGAGCCAAGTTGCACAGAGCCAAGTTGCACAGAGCCAAGTGGCGCAGAGCCAAGTTGCACAGAGCCAAGTTGCACAGAGCCAAGTTGCACAGAGCCAAGTTACATAGAGCCAAGTTACCATAGAGCCAAGTTACATAGAGCCAAGTTACATAGAGCCAAGTTACATAGAGAGCCAAGTTGCACAGAGCCAAGTTACATAGAGCCAAGTTGCACAGAGCCAAGTTGCACAGAGCCAAGTTGTACAGAGCCAAGTGGCACAGAGCCAAGTGGCACAAAGCCAAGTTACACAGAGCCAAGTTGCACAGAGCCAAGTTACATACGAGTCAAGTTACGTAGAGCCAAGTTGCACGAGCCTGCTTTGCAGAAGATGTCGCATCGATGTAAAAGGGCGTCTCTGCGGCTGGAAAAGCACATGATGGGAAACGCTTGGGGGAAAATGCTTTCGGGCCAATCGTCCTCTAGTTTGTTTTTAATGGTGCCGTTATTTGTGTTTCTGAAGAGACACTACAAGGAAACCCTTTTCGGGGGGTCCCTCAAAAATACACAAGTTGGTGTTTAGAGCCCGGCTTGCAACTGCCCCCTGCCTAGGAGCTCGAAGCTTTCCTTGGGCGATGAAAAGCTGATTGAGTCACATGAGAATAACAGTCAAAATGGGCGGCGCGCCTTTGGCTTTGCTTTAAACCACCCCAATCCAAAAAACACACAGCAATGAATGAAGCTGCCGCTTGGCTCTAGGCCTCGATCATGGATGGCTGGCTCTTCAGTGGCAGAACATCTAAAAAAGATAGGGGCACAACTTCCATACCAACTGGCAACTGGGCTAATTCCAAAATGTAACTTCATCCTTAGAGACCCAGCTTGGCTTTGCTAACACTTGCTTCAAGGTTGAGGAAGGAGCACTCACAGTTCAGCACGAGAGCAGGCCTTCCCAATTGGTGGGAGTCGAGCAAGTCCCCACACCTAACCTCTAGCTTCGTTGCGAACCCTTTTGGTTTCGAAGTTCTAAATGCTCCAAGAATGGGAAATGCTAGTGAGTGGATCGCACCTCTTCCATGCAGGTTGCTGGATGCACCCTCATGAAAACTTCGTTTACAAGCTTTGGGAATGTTGCCTGCAGCATTCATGTCCAAATCTCCCAAAGGAACCATAGACAAATTCGCCAACAAATTTGAGAAATATATCCATCCCTTCTGGTTTCTGTCCGGGCAGCAACAACTACGCAATTTTGACCGAACATCACATGTCAGGAATCCTCATCATGGTTGTCAACACTCCCTAAAGGCTTGATGACCATCCCGAACCTCAAGTAAAGGGGCATTTGGGTTCGTCCTTTTGAGGCCCCCTGTAAACCAATCTGACTATCTCACACGTGTCTCAAGTCGCTAAAGCCGCGGCTCCGGCTTCAGCCACACCTTCCATGGCCTCCCCAGCAGCTCCACCATTTGCTGGGCCAAGACCTCTGTAAACGTGCAGGCTACGGGTACCAGGCAAACCGTGGAAATGTTTCATGAACGTGTCTACATGTCATCGGCGAGTGGTTCTTTTGGGCGGCGTCGCACCGGAGCTTCGAATCGCGCCTGCACCGCGAGCTGCATCCTGGACTGCGAGAGCGCGCATGGCAAGCCGCCGGGCAGTGGAAGCAGGTCCAGCCTCGACCGATTCGCTTCCATGATAAGGGTCTGCAAATTAGGGAATTGGAGCCCACAGAGGTGGCTTTCCGTTTCGTTTCCCTGAAACCTAACCTGAAAACGGTCCAAGGTATCAAAGACCAAAGCACACAGAGAATATTCAGATCTATGCGGACGAGCAAACGGGCACATTCGACCTTCTTAGCAGAACATCCCGACAATACTGTGGATGGTTACAAAATCCACACCAGGCACCAATTGGAGCGCATCCGAGTTCCCAGTGACCAGCCGCCTTCCATTTGGTTTTGAAGGGCGCTCCCTTTGTCACTATGCTGGGTAAACTTTGCCTACAACCTTACATGTCCCTTCATTGGCAGCCTATCAAGTCGTTCCGGATTACCATATTCAGGTGTTGATAGCTGCGGCCGGCAATGGACTGTGATCAGAGTATCTTCCTTGGACTGCCGGCACGCGATTTGCAAGTCGGCTAAGCTGGGACCCAGTCAGAACATCGTGCGCACTCAGTGCACGGGTTTGGAGGAAGAATGAAAGAGGGGGCTGCATGGCATGACATCATTCATTCTTCGCTGGTGTGGCTATGTACAAAACTGGCATCTGGCCACGTGCTTCAAATCGATGCATGAGTGACATTCGCCGATATGCTTTAATTGACGAGCCACTTCAAACGCCACACCCGCGATACCTCTTGAACTACAGCTATGTTCAGAGGCCCACATGCCTGGAGAGTCGGAAAGCTGTGGGACCCATCCAACTTTAAATGAACGACTCAATATTCAAGAGGCGGTCCTGTAATGAAACACCTCCATTTGTCAAGACCGCGAAGCGACACCTTCAAGCCCCCAAACCATTTGATTTAAAAGACAACCCATCCCCCCCATCGCCTGAGCTCCTGCAAGCGCGCGCTGGGGTTCAAGACGACCGTGCCAGCGCAGTGAAGCATGAGGCTGTAGACCTGACTGAGTTTCTTGCAGGGTAGGTTAAATAGATGGTCATGTGGTGTGTGTGTGTGTGGTTGTGTGAATGCCAGGGTGAGCAGCCAATTAACTTCCTAAGTAGCAGCAAGCTTGAGCTACCTCCTGAATTGAACTAGCAAACTAGCTAGCCCACTAGCTAATAGATGCTTAACCAGCTCGCGGAGGAAATAAGCTCATTAGAGCGCGAGCAGCTGACTGGCGGCTAACCAGCAAACTAGCTAACTAGTAAAATTGAGTAGCTAAATTGAAATTGCATGAAGAGAAGACGCAGAAAGCGCAAGCATGGCATCCATATACCTGGAGGCCCAATTGATACAGAAAAAAGTGCTCAATTGCATTTTCGGAGTTCGAACGTTTTTTTTATGCCTGATTGGAAACGAACAGTGTTGAAGACGGATTGGCCCGACATGCGCACCGCGTTTCGAGCGCAATTCGGCGCCGGCGCAACTTCGGGCGCAATTTCGCGCAACTCGGGCGCCAATCCGCGCACCGAGCGCAATTTTAACAACTGCCCAAATTCTGGTCACTACACTAGCGCCAAGTCGCTGGCTCCCAGAAACGTTTCGGGCACTTTTTTCGCCAAAAACATTCGAGCACAAATTTCTGTATCAATTGGGCCTCCAGGTACATTGACAAAGAACCACACATCTTGTCAAAATACAGTTTCTCTATGTTTGATGCCCCCAGCTTCGCGAGCAGAAATAGTAATATTACAGTCGTATGCGGGCTTGTCTTCAAACAGAGGAGCCCCCCAAAACCAGTGGTTTGCTCTTGGTTTCCCTTTGACAGTAACCCAAAAGGGTTCCCTCGAAAAAGGCGAGCCGCCCATACTTGCGTTGGCAATGGAAGCAAAAACTTCCAGCCCCAGCGCCTGCCAGGACACCCGTCCGGCCAGGACCACCAATTGGAAGTGCTGAAGGACATCGAAAAGCGAACGCACCGCCCGGGGAGTTCCGCTGCTGATGTGGATGCCCGTCACGTGGATCTCTCCCTGCGCGACGGAGGGAAGGGCTGCTGTTTGCTGATTGCAAAAATCATCACCTCCATTATGCAAAGGACACTGGCTGCGACGTCTGCTTCTTCTTTTTTTGCATCAGCCATGCGTCTGATTATCAACAAAGGTTTCAGTGTTCGCTGGAAAGAAGGGAACCTATGCTTTCCAAGTAGTAGGCTGGAGAGCTTAAAAGAAAACATCTCTGCCGTCCTCTTGCAAGCGAGGAACTTCAAACATTCCACGCTGAGCCATGTAATAGAGCAGAGCATCCAACTGCCCAGAATCTTCTTCCCCTGGCACGAGCTCGTTTGTGGGATAGTCTCCTGACTTGATCGCCACTCGCCTTCGTTGATTCATCCCCGAAAAGTCAAACTGTTAGTGGGATGAATCACAAACCCCCAACTCGAAATTCTGAAAGTCTCAAAGTCTCCCCCTTCTCCAAAAATAAAAACTTTTTGAACTTAGGTATACTGTTTTCCCTTGGTAAACGGATGTCTTTCTTCGGGAACGTGTTTGGACAGGGAATTCCACTTACTTTTTTTTCGAGCGGGGCTTGCCCCCCAAAAACCTATGCCAAGTTGCAGACTGGGCCAGTGCCAGCTGCAGCTCCTGGCGAAGTCCTGCACCGCCTGTTTGCAACCCGTGTGCCCATGAAGTTCCGCGAGCTCATGGCAAGTATAGCCACTGGCGTTGGTCCTGGATTTGGGCGTCTTTTGGGGGGCGTGGTTTCCTACCCTCTACAAGAATTAGATTGGGCTCAAATCGCCAGGTCCCGCCAATCCAAGCCAACTTGGGGGTAACTTTTCCTAAATTTCCCCAAAATCCAAAATGGTTTCGGGGTCCGTTTGGCTTCCGTTTAAACAGAACACCAAAAATGGGGGGGAGGGTATTCCTAAACAAACAGACACGCCCATTGACAGCAAGTGGACATCGGCTCGTCAAAATTGAATTTGGACCACAACGGTGGCTTTCCTTTTGGTTTCTCTTTTAAACCACCGAGCCATGTCAACAAGTCCAACAACCTCCCACGCGTTTACCCAACATCAACCCGTTCTTGCCCAAAATGTCGCACAGGTCAAAGTCGCGGCAGACCGCCGAACGCGTCTCGTACATCTTCCTCTCTTCCGTGCTCCCACGATGTTTCTTGATGTGATCCAGCAACACTTTCAGGGATTCCAAATGACCTTCTTGGCAGGCCACGTGCATGGCTGTGTTGCCAAGTTCGTCCGGGTACATCAAATCTGCAAACAGCATCCAAGGCTTCGGCACGGTCTCGACGGAGCATCTCTCCAACAGATGTCTCACGCACTCAGACAAGTTGCTGCGCACCAATCTGTTGAGCAATGTCTGTCCGCTCAGCCGCTTGTGGCCAAGCTGTCGGTAGTAACCTTCATCCCTGTTGGCTGAGGACTCGTAATAGCGTTGCAACAACTCCTGCATGTCCAACAGTTTCTTCTCCAGAATTGGCCGGAACCTCAAATCCTGTTCTTGCAAACTGAGCATTCCTTGAGCTTCCGGCCAGTCTAGCAACAAAGACTCGAAGTGATTCGCCTCCGCAATATATGGGTCTTGAAAGTTCGACGCCAAAATACGGAGAGTTTTTGGGTCGAGGTCCCTCTCCGCCTTTGGCACAGCCAAGTGATCAACCACAAAGTGCCACTGCCGACCACCACCGAGGCAGGCATCGAGATCCAAAGGCTTTAGCAGTAGATGTTGCAATTCGGTCAACTCCTCCTTGAAGAGACTGATCTCGTGTTCCTAGGCGTTTTGATCGCGAAGCGAACAACAGCTTTGAAGTGTGGAACTCTTCAATGCACATGTTTCGCGCTCATCGCCATTCGTCACCCCAGCAGTGCGCAACCAGGTCAACCCCCCAAGTGTTGACAGTGTCAAGACTCCCCCCCACTAAAATAGACTAAAATGCGTGGTGCACCTACCCCAAAATGGTACCATTGGTTTTGACCCACAGCCGTGTGAGTCCGGTACTGATTGAAATCAGTAAAGCAATTTGGATTGATCTGCGTTTCAAGCGCATTCACTTGGCAAAACACTCTGCATCAAGACACCCAAACCTAGTAAACTAAACTCATTTTTGCACCATCATTGACCCCAAACAGGCTCAATCGCATCAGAAGCTTTTCTCAGCACCCAACTCAACCAGCAGCAAGCCCGATCGTGCTTGTGCCCTGGTCAGCAGAAACGGTCGCCGATATTTCCGCCCAGCAAGCGCGTGAGAAAACAAGTCGGGAAACAAAGCGAAATGAAGGGAGACAAAGAGTGAGAGATTGACGCGCGCGCCAAAGACAGCTGGTTCAGACTGCCTGCAGCAGACTGCAGCAGATTGCCTGCGGCAGACTGCCTGCAGCGGACTTCCTACAGCTGCGTGCAGCACACTGTGCCTGGTGGTTTTCCAAAAACATGCTTTAGGATGTAGCAAATTGTTACACCCTCCGAAGCCGCGTTTTCTTTCAGATCACCAACCTGAAAAGTCAGCCGCACCCTCAAAAGCGTCCAGGATGAAAGTCGAGGGGCCTGTTTTCGGTCGGGCGCTCTTGGATCTTCAGCTGCCGTTGAGGGCTCCAAAAGCCTGTTGTCGAAAAACCGCACTTTAGGAGGGTTTGCGGGCATTCTCCTGCAGCGTCCTGCAGGCAATGTTCCGCAGGCAGTCTTGCAGGCGCAGTCTGCAAGCAGTCTGCTGCAAACAATCTCTTTCAAGCAGCCTGTTGGAGGCAATCTGCTGCAAGCAGCTTTCTGCGAGCAGCCTGCTAGAGGCAACCTGCAACCAGTCTGTTGCAGGCAAGCACTTAGCTAAAACCATCAACGAATTGGCCGCTCTCGATCAACTGCGGGCAGGAAGCTTGTTGAAGGCTCCGCGCCACAGGCGATCTTTTGCGCGCAGCTTGGCTTGCTGCAAGCGCATCGCTGCGCGCTGCTTCTTGGCAGCAGTTCTATGCACGAGCAATTTTTCACCTCAGGCAGGCTGCTACAATACGGGGTGACTACATGCACTGAGACCCGCGCGCCAGGCAAGACTAGAGGAAGACCACAGGAAGAGTAAGACTACGAGAGACCACGAAAATTATTGCAGGAAGACTACGGCGCCAGGGGGCAAGACTAAATAAAGGGTACGACAAGATTGCGGGGCTGGAGAAAACTACGCCCGCCTGGAAAATCACTACGGGGGAAGTGGGGCGCCGGACCCGTGCGAGGGGCAAGACTGCGCGAAGACTACAACGCCGGACTGCAGGAAGACTCTGACGCCAGGCAAGACTAAAGGAAGACCTGCGAGACTCGACACACCAAGTCAAACTGAACGGAGAGTCTGCAAGAAGACTACGGCGCTGGCGCCTAAAGGAGCAAGACTAAAAGAAGCCCGCGCGCGAGATAGTCTGGCTCGGTCATTCCCTTGTCTCCCCACTTGCTTCCATGTCTTCCCACAGTTTTCTCACGCGCTTGCTGGGCTGGACGCTGTCACGATATGGTCTGGCTCGGTTAGTCTTTGTCTCCCCGCTTGTTTCCATTTGTCTTCTCTCTTGTTTTTCATGGCTGCTACCAGTATACTTCATATACATCCGAGGCGAGATCTGAGAAACCGCTCTGGCTTGCGAGCCAGCTGTGCGTTTTGATTGTAGCTCATCTTTGGGACCCCAACCAACAGGACTTGCAAGGCGCCTGTCCGCGAATTTTTAGTGCAGCACCAGCCCTCCGAAGGGCTGAACGGGGATCATGGCGGATCCCTAGAAAGTTCACCGGCGGTTCTGAGATTTTGCTGCGAATTCCTACATGTACATGTTTTGGCGTTGATTCCTGGTTTTACTCCAGTTCACCCAGGCACGCTTCCGTGGGCTTCCTCCGGTCTCTCCCGGAATATAGTCTTTTTGTCCGTCTCGCCCTCGTGTGATGTAGTCGCGCCCCCTGCGCTGTGGTCTTCCTTTGGCCTTGCCCGGCTCGCCAGGCAGCGCTGTAGACTCCTTTTAGTCTCCCGACGCGCCGGGCTGCGGCACAGGCACTGTAGTCTTCGCTTGCGTCGCGCCCCGGCGCCGTTGACTTTCGTGTAAGTATTCCTTGCGTCTTGCTTGGCACGCAAGCCCTGGCGCAAGTGCGGAGACCAAGGCGGCCGAGCCAGACCATCTCGTGACAGCATCCCACCCGGGCGCGAGAAACCAAGTGGAGCGACAAATAGAAACAAGGGAGACAAATGGGCTGACCGAGCCAGACCATCTCGTGACAGCATGCAGCCCAGCAAGCGCGTGACAAAACAAGTGAAGACAAAAGTGGGAGACAAAGAGCTAACCGAGCCAGACCATCTCGTGGCAGCATCTTGCCCAGCAACAACGAGGAAACAAGTTGGGGAGACAAATGACAACCAGTGGGGAGACAATAGACCAGCATCAAGACCAGCAAAAACAAAGTGGGACGACAAATGGAAGCAAGTGGGGAGACAAAGGGCCGGGCTGACCTCGTGAAAAGAGCTAACCGAGCGGCACCGCCTCATGATATGAGGAAGCAACGGGAAGACAAATGGAAACAAGTGGGGAGACAAAGCACTGACAACCTCGTGCAGGCCTGACCGAGCCAGACACGGCATCCGGGGCGTGAGAAAACAAGTGGGGAGACAAGTAGAAACAAGTGGAGAGACAAAGAGCTAACCGAGCCAGACCATCTCGTGACAGCATCCAAAGCACGTTAGAAAACAAGTGGGGAGACGAACAGCTGACCAAGCCAGACTAGCCCCAGCAAGCGTGCGAGGAAACAAGTGGAGAAACAATGGGAACAAGTGGGGAGACAAAGGACTGCCCGAGCCTCGTGACAGCATCCAGCCAGCAAGTGCGCGAGAGAAAGCAAGCGGGGAGACAAATGGAAACAAGTGGGGCGACAAACAAATGACCGAGCCACAGGTGTTACGTTGACCCGCGCTTCCTTCCTCAATGTGCGGGTGCGTGACTCCAGTCGCTGTACCCTCAGCTAGCTCTGCAGTTTCCCGTGGCCAACCAGTGCACTGAATCTGTGTCCCATCCCAGCGCACCTGAAATAAAAGGTCCGCCTTTTCAAGGCCTGGAGTCCGTCGGTTTGGAGGTGTTCGCACACAGTTTCCCACCGACAAGCACAAGGGGTTGAAATCCCCGTGTTGATGGGGATGTTCAAATGGTGGGTGTGTTTTTATGGTTTCCCTGTAAAACCAACCCAAAAAAGGGGTTCCCTCAAAAACACAAAAAGACCGACCCAATTCGGGATTCCCTGACTATGCGCCGAGCTTCCGTGGGGCAATAAAGATATCTCCAGGCGGGGCGCCTGTCCTTGTTGTCCCATTGGCCGCGCCAAGGGAAGGGTACACCCTTTAGGAGCGTGCCTACAGGGTTCGAAAATGGGCCCCCAACCTGTCTGTTGTGCCCGTAAACGACCAGACAATATGGATGTCGGCAGAGGTTCGCACGACCAAGAAGCGCACCAAGGAAAAGTGTCCTGGTCAACAATGCCATGTTTGGAAATATGGTGATTGAAGGTGCCCCTTTGTTTCATACCCCCCCCCCCAGAGCTCCCCCTCCCAAATTCTGAGTTACAGAATAAGGCTGATCGGCGGCAAGGCCTTGATGATGCATTATTATTGCGTCATGCGGGTCTTCTTAGGGGTCAAAAAACACCCTTGCTAAGCCGTTACTAGCGGTGTAATAGAGCATTAGAAAGGATTTGGGCTTAGCGTCAAAGCATAACAGAGTTTGGGTGATGGCAACTTAATTGGGTCATAGTAAGGGTTGGCGCTGCAGACACTCTCTCCTACTCCAGATTTGGGCCTATAGGCTAGGATGCTTGGATTAAGGAATTGCAAAAACAATGTCTTCTGACAGCTGTGTTGAGGCTGGACCCCAATCAAGCTATCTTCTTTTTGGGGGGGTGGGGCTTTCGGAGGGAGGGGGCGGGCATAGCATTCTGTGATTGTTTGTGGTTTTAAAGAAAACCACCACAAGGAGAACCGCCATTTTGGGGGGTCAACTGTGTGGCAGTGGCAAGTGTTCGATGGGAATAGCACCCGCCGTGGAGCAATGATCAGTTCCCCAAACTTGTGTTGGCACAAACAATTAACAAGTCACACCCATACGCTCGGATCCCTGGACACATCGCAAACAATACTTCAAGCCTTGAATGATGGAGTTTCTGCACAAGGCCGCGCAAGGAGCGTCGACCAGCTTTTCCAGACACAGGCGCAACGGCTGCCGGAGTCGAAGCGCAACTGTGGCCAGCTTGAATTCGGCCTGAAATATGTCGAACGGGAAGGAGATTGGGAGATTGGTTTGGAAGGAGAGTATTAGGTCCAGTCTATGAGAATGCTAGGGAGAGGCTGCTTGATGTTAGTATCTGGATCTGAGGATATGGCTCTCGAGAACCCTTCCAATGGATTTACAACTCAGTAGATGAAATTGTTGAAGAAGACTGGTTGTCGGAGCGATGACAAAGTGCAAAAAATCCAACCACAAAACACACATAGGCATAAACATCTACATTATTGTGTTTTTTGGGTGCGAGCCACAACCAATATTGCTAAAGTTGGCTCTGGGTAGGCCCCTATTGTTGGCGAGAAAAAAGGGGATATTTGCATTTCCGGCTCCCTTCTTGTCCTTTCCGAAGCAAACAACAGACCGCTAATGTTGTCCGTTGCTATCACATGAATCGACATGGATCTTGGAATCTGGCAGGCTTCGGCCTCTTCCGTGTCAGCCATGCCAAAGAACCCCCCAGCTGTACAAGGGATACGGCTGAGCCACACGGCCAAATCAAAGCACAGCGTGCGCTTGTATGCGTGCCTCTCTACGTCTCTGCGGGTGTGCGGGTCTGCACGTCCGCGTGTGTGTGCGGGTTGTGGTGCGGGCGTGGGTGTGGGTTTGTTGTCGTGTTGCGGCGTGTTGTGGTGTGGTCTGGTGTGTGGGGTGTAGTGGGTGGGGTGTAGGTGTGGGAGTGTCTGGGTGTGTGAGTGTACGGGTGTGTGTTTAGTTGCTTTTAATTAACCTCTTTCACTCCGATCAGCCCTGAAGAAATACGAACATGTACTTTCAACTCGCACAGAGTGCCAGAAATGGGGGGAGGCAAAGGGGCAACCTGCCAGCGACGGATACTCCAACCTCCGATCCTTCTTGTGCATTATTGCATTCGACGAGACGCTTGCTTGTTCTCTTGCCTACCACGCAGACCACTAAAAGGTGTTGCACAGTCTCCACTGCCATCTAATTGCGGCTTTCTGTTTGGTGTTTGATTCGTTTGTTCTCGAGCCAAGGAAGTGGCCATGAATTGTAATAGGGAACAGCCTCGAAAATAGTTGGTGGACAGGAATCCCAACCTAAATGATGTCCACCAGAAAGTCCTCGTTAAAACTCAGACTTGCGTCTGAATGCCCCTACCACATTTGAACTCAAAGACTATCATTTTGCTCCAAAACCTCTCTGGCGATTGCCTGCGCAACAAGTGCTGACTCGGTGTTGGTTTGTGGGAAATATCGGGTTGTCTTAAACTGGGTTTCTTTTCGGTCTTAGCTAACCAAAAGGGGTTCCCCAAAGACACACCCATGCACCCGTTCCCAAACAGTTAAAGGCAAAGATCCAACCAAGCAGAAAGTAAGACATATGCCTGGGCATGGTTGTTCCTCAAAAGCAGTCTCAAATGATGGCCCCTTGAGGAATGGTGATGAACCGACCAGCCTCCAGAGGTTGAATTGAAAGAGGAAAGTCGGCGGAATCACGTTGGCCCAGTTGCAACAGGGAATTCTGAAACCCAGTTGCAAGCAGATTTTTGTTCTTTGCTCGCGGTGCGAAGCGGCACAGACAGGGCTCGGGGGGGGGTGCCCCCCCAATCGTCAAGGCAACAGCAACAAGACGATGCATCCTTGCTGTGGGGGTTGTCAAAAATATGGCCGCTGTGTCAACCGCGTTCCGCCGCGTTTTCAGCGGATTTCGAAACGGGCTTGACAACCCGACTGTACCTTCAGCAAGCTTAATGGCATCGTGTCCCTAGAAGAGTTCTCTCAACTGGTGATTGGCTTCCAGCAAAGACATATGGTTGTCGTTGTGTGTTTTCTAGGATCTGGACCCCCAAAATGGTGGTTTTCCTTTTGGCTTCCCCCAAAAAGACACCCTCATATGACCTTGCCAAACTCCTGATGGTACGTAAGTCATTCTGACACTGCCACAATAATAATATTGCTCCGTTGCGACTGCAAATAACCACTAGTTTTAATTCTTACAATTCTCACCTTCCCAGCCAGCTCAACGTGTGAACAAGCTCTTGTAAGTTCCCGAATCACTCAGACTTGGGCGTGCCATCGTCGAACCTGACGTTTGTCCTGCTCCCGATGTGTGGGCGCTCTCCGTCTTTTCGTCTGGGCCATCCTCCTGCATCCTGAAAGTGCCATTTCTTGCACTCTCCGAAGGAAGCCCAAAGGGTTCCTCTTTCAAACGCCTCTGGCAAACAATCTAACTCCCAACATAGCCTCGTTTGATGAAACAGGAGTCCTTAAGGATTCGGTCTGCTGCTGATAAGGAATCCTTTGTTGAACATGATAATTCGGTGGGGATGCATGTCCACCAACTTTTGAGGTGGTTCCCTATTTCAGAAAATCACAGCCATAGTATCTGTTTTTCTTCCACATAAGCACAACCATTTGTTGGACATCACTGTCATTTGTATTGAGATTTTGCGTCACCATACTAGAGGGAGTTCCCCATTGATCATTCTATAGAATTTATAGCCTTGGCAAGGCAATCCATGTACATCGAAACAACATTGCATTTCACAAACCCCGTCCCATTTTTGGGTACAATTGGTGACCGTCAATGGGGTCTAACAAATGGGTTCCAGGATGCACGCATTGTTGTCGTTTGATGCAAGCGATCGGAACCCGTTTGTTTGAACCTGTTTGGGGTTCCCTAAGATTTCACCAACTAGTCGCGCACAATCGCCTGACGCCGCAGAAACAGTCTGTTTTTCAGAAAGCGGGCAGCCCGAGCTTAACCTTCCAACCAATTGCGAAAGTCCCTGGACACAAATTCACAACTCAACGCAATGTCAAAAGGAAGGCATTTTGTTGCAAGAATTGGCTGCTGCAGGGTTCATCTATTTCCCCTTGTTCGACACTCACTTCAATCTGGCCAGCGGTCACGAATTCTTGTCCTCTGGTCATGGTGACGGGGACACTCACTGTAGCACAAAAGAAAATGGGTGGAATTCACACCCAGTAACAATCGGCAGCAGTATTAGTTGGTGGTTGGTGCGGAGACAGTCAACAACAAAAACTGTAAAGAAAAGTTGCATGTTGCAGCATACGCTTGTAAGGGGTACGATTCGGGGGAATGATTCGCCAAGGTCCCACCTTCTGCCTTTTGAAGCGTCTCAACACAACAAAGAAGACAAGCCCATGTGTCTTGACCAAATTCTTGCCAAGCATCCCATCCACGCCCACAAACTTCATGGGCTTATCCAAGAGGTCCAACTCAGAATCCGTGGCCACATGCATCATCAAATCAGGGTCTGAATCAAAGTTCACTTGAGCGACCTCCACAAGCCCATCCATCTGCAGTGATCCGAGCTGATGCCATTCAACAATGGCATAATGAGCCGTTGCTTTGCCATCTGTTCTCAGCCTTTGAAGCAGCTTCTGCACCAGCCACGTTCTGTCCTTGCGGGGTTGCTAAAAGCAACTTCCAACGCGCGCTGCTTGAGTTGAGGGGCACACAATTCTACCAAGCATCCGGATAGACTTCCGATTTTGATCATTTGAGGAGTCGCTTAGAGGCTTGTGCGCTCTGTCGTATCCTCAAACAGCCCCGCCTCGGAGAGTCGCTCAGGTGGGACAAGAACCAATGCTCCTTTGGCCCATTCCGCGTGCTCGTGCTGCTTCCAATCGAAGCTGTGTGCCAAAGAAGTCTCTTTGAGAAGGTCCAATCCATGTAAACACTGCAGCAGAACACATGGGCCCTGAGACTGTGCGTGCGTGAGGCATCCCAGGTCTTTCTCACAGCTCTTCGCTGAGTCCAGAAAGCTTTTGATCAGGCTCAAGATGAAATCCCTCTTGGCGCTCACATGAGAAGCCAAATGGTTCAGCGTGTGCAGCATAGCAGCGCTGACATGATCAAGTTCTTCCACCAATGCGTAAACTGTTTGACCTGCAAGCGTCTGGGTTTTCTCCGCCACACTGCGAAGGATTTCAGACCATGTTGTCAACAGTTGCTCCACATAGAGAAAAAACTCGTGGTTTGTCTCCAGGGCGCCTGCGATATCCTGGCAAATTTTGGGCAACAACTGCGAGCAACTCAGCGAGGGTACAAATGCGATGGCCAATGGGGTGCGCATCTGGAAAATTGTCAGAGCTTTGCTTGATCAACTTTCTGGCCAGACCGCGTTGGAGAAAAAGATTCAAGCGCATCTACTCCAATAGCAGCCAAGTGACAGTGCATCCCCTCAGGCCACCTCGTTTGCAAATGGAACGCCTGGTGCCAGAATACGCCGCAACATTCAAAACATGTGGCATGGGCAAAGTTTTGTGTGTGGGTCATGTCTCCCTCAGCAGCAACCTTTACGTGCACCCCTCTTGTGTTTGTTCTTGACATTGTTGACCTTCATACAATCTATTATTTTGGTTTAAGGCTTTTTGTATTCTCGCGCAATACAAGCCATGTGCTTACTGCGAAAAAGACCCTGCCGCAGTGCTTCGCAGGCACAGAGAGATCAATGCAATAACCAGGGACATCCATTGTCTCACCAACCCATATGAGATACAGGGCCTTTGGGTACCAGAATTGAGATTGGGCTGCAGCCCATTGACTGTTTGGGACGAAGTCTTGCTGACTTGGCAGCACACGCCGACCTATCAGCAGCACTGAGGAGATCAATTTGTCGATGACCGCAAGCAGCCGCCAGAAAAGTCAGCTGTTGTCGATGACTGGATACAACAGTGGAGCCAGCGCGAGGAGGACCTCTCCTCAAAAGCAGACTCGCAGGAGATGCTCGACAACACTCTGCTCCAAGCTACCAACGTGTATCTCCTCAGCTTTTCCAATCATCGACGAAACAATATGGAGCTTCTCGTTTTCACATCAAAGCTCTCAGGAGATTGAAGTCAGCATTGAACGATTTCATGCCCGTAATCACAGCACAATCGCCCAAATTCCTCGCGTCAGTGTGTGCAACAGCAAGCTGCAGCTGTCAGACAACCACTCATGCACCCGGATTATCCGAAGGTGCTGAAACAGTATGTAACAGGCACGCAGACAAGAGACCCAGACGCGTTCCCACTCAATGACAATCTCGAGCGAATTGTCAGACCAGCAGGGAGAAAGACCGATCCGCGCAAAGTCCTTGAGGAACATCCAGCTTGAGAATTACACACACACGAGATGCGGAAGACACAGTATCACGACCTCTTCATCACAACAAGAACATCCAGTCAAGATCCATGCATCAGACCTTCAGGAGGCAACTGCGACAACCAACCCCTTTTACACTTCGAAGGAGAGGAAGGTTTTTGGGCTGAAAGCGATGAAGGACATGAAGGATTCATTGCCAATTGCAGCACAAGATGAGGAGACATTCTGCGTCCTCGAGGAAACGACGCGTTCGTTGCCACACAACGCGGCATATTGGGGAAAAGGCAAAGGCAAGAAAGGAAAGAAAGGAAAATCGAAATTCGAGTGTCCTTTCAGTGGAAACGAAGGATGTCCATCGGGAAAAGAGAAGGCGGAGCAAAGAAATCAGAGGAGCAATCCACCATTCAGCATCTCGGAGCCTTCATATGGAGTGAGACAGCAGGCTGGCACAATGATGGCAAGTCATTCCAACATCAGGCCGACAGCACCGACAAGAAGCCGATCCAAGCCGATACAGTTTCTACACACAATCTGTCAGCGACGACCAAGCACAGCCTGCTACCACGCAACTCCTCCAACCAGCACAAACATCGACATCCTTGAACAAGCAACTGCATAACATCGAGCACACCCCTCAGTGGGACAAGGTTTAGCTGTGAAGCCGTGCGCCAAGCAGTTCCAGTGTCAGGGCCTCAACAACTATGTCTGACGGCAATAGCATCAAGTTTCGCCGATTGGAACCACCCCAGTCGGAAACTGTTTTTGCATCCAAGTCATCCGAATCCAAAGGGGGCACACCAATTCAGATCATTGGCTCACAAAGGCAGGTCATTGAGAAGAGCAAGCTGCTCACCGTTCACATCACCATGACGAGCCAACAAACGTCCAGTCAATCGACCGTATCAGCTTTCAGCGGTCGGTGAGTAGGTGTATGAGGAACGGGTTCTGCCTCACTGTCCACCATCGGTAGGTTTCGGGGGTGTTCAGATTCTCTCTGGATGAAGGAAAAGACTCGGGTGACTGATCGCCTGAGTTCTTTGCAATTGATGTTCTTGAGTCCGTTTCTTGCTCAAGATTGGGCAGTTTAAGCTCTTCGTCATTGTCTTCATTCTCGGGAATGTTCAACGTTACCGTTCGCAATGAACCATTGATTTGTTTTCCTGGGATGTAAGTCTCCAGTTGTCTCCAGTTGTCTCCAGTTGTCTTCCAGTTGTCTTCAGGACGGTGTCAAAAGACTTGCAGAGGACAAGAGCATGCGACGATCAGGGTCCTGACCTTGCGCTTCACAAGGCACATTGGTCCTGCATGACTGAAGCTCTTACGGGGGACATTGATGCGTCTTGGTGTGGGTTTACTCATCAGAGATTTTGTTGACAAGAAGGACCATGTGGACCGGTTACGCAAGCACGTGACAGATGATCGCGCGCTTTGCACTCATCCAAGCAAGACTAAAGGCTTCAACTACACCCGCACTCATGGAAAGAAGCGGAAGGAAGCGGCAACTTTTCGCAGTTTTCTCGATGTGCCTGATTTGCGGGACTCTCCAACAGGCGTCTGAACTGGTCTGAAACCAGTCTGAAACATGGGAAACGATCCCCCCAAACCCTGCAGAAGGCTCTCAAAAGGCCCCCGCGCAGGGAAGTGTCAGGGTCTCCCCCCGGAAAAATTGGAAGCAATTTCCGGAGTTTGGAAGGAGGATTTCTGAAGAGAAGGGCATGAGACAGGATAGGGGTCAGACTAAATCGGTCAAAGCTCTTGTTTCTGGCAAGTCTTGGAAAGAGGCGCCGTCCCATCCAACGCTGCCCTCTGCTTTGGATCAGCCGCCGGTCAAGCGCCAAGGAGAGAATCCTTTGAAACTTTTGTGTGGGTGGAATCAACTCTTTTCTTGCACTCTTGCGCAGCCCCTATCATGCCCTCCCCTTCCTTAGAAATCCTCCTTCCCGTCCCCGGAAATTGTTCCAACTTTTCTGGGGATACTGACACTTCCCTTTGCGGCGGGGGGGGGGGGACTTGGCTCTTACCACGTTTTGAACTTTCTCAAGGCAGGCGAGCTCACATCGGCGAACAATGGACTTGGGCCTGCTTTTTGACCTTGTATCTACTCCAAGTTGTTTCCGGACTTCTTCCGGACTTCTCCGGACGCGCCATGCTGTTTGGAGCCCGACAGAACTGCGAGGCCTGGATGGGCCACCAGTCAGGCGGCAAGGGGGCAAGAAGGCTGAGTCCCTTTTCTTGATGCGCCTGCTTTGCGGGACTCTCCAACAAAGTCTGAACGTCTGAACCAGGTCTGAAACCAGTCTGAAACATGGGAAACGATCCCCCAACCCCTGCGCCTGCCTTGAGAAGGCTGTCAAAAGTCAGGGTCTACTAAACCCGGAAAATTGGAAACAATTTCCGGAGATGGGAATGAGGATTTCTGAAGAGAAGGGCATGAGATAGGATAGGGGTCTTTCTGGCAAGTCTTGGAAAGAGGCGCCGCCCCATCTCATGCTGCGGCCATCTGCTTTGGATCGGCCGCCAGTCAGGCGCCGAGGAGCCCTGGGAGGTGGAGCATCAATTGAAACTTTTTTGTTGATGGAATCAACGGAATCAACTTTTTTCTTGCACTCTCGCGCAGCGCTTAAGCGTCTAGCAACCCCTCTTTCCGAGACTTCCTGGAAGGCGATTTGGTCTGACCCCTATCCTATCAGGCCCTTCCCTTCCTTAGAAATCCTCCTTCCCATCCCCGAAAATTGTTCAATTTTTTCGGGGATCCTGACACTTCCCTTTGGGGGGGGGGACTTGGCTCTTACCACGTTTTGAACCTCCTCAAGGCAGGCGAGCAGCAGGAGTTGGGGGGATGGTTTTCGATGTTTGAGACTGGTTTCACACCTGGTTCAGACCAGTTCGCTTTGGAAGAAGCTCCCGCAAATCAGGCACGTCGAGAAAAAAGATTTGGGCCTGCTTGTTAACCACCCCGAGCCGGCAAACTCCAAGTTGTTTCCGGACGTCCCATGCTGTTTGGAGCCCCTGACAGGCTTGAACTCAGCTTCGGGGGGGGGCGCCACAGCCAGGCCCGGACCGCGGACACCTGCTTTGGATTTTGGATATGGGCCTGAAATTCACTTCATGCCCCGCACTGGCTTGCGGCAGAACTGTGGCCTGAGCAAGGTCTGAAACAGGTCTGAAACTTTTAATATATGTGTATACTGCATTTAGAATTATATTTATACAATGATTATATCATGCTATATTGAGAGATCTTGGTACGGAAGGCGAATGAATGGTAGTTAGTGTCAGGAAATGGAGCGGCTTTCAGTAGTAACACTGTTGCTCGACGGGGTGGGAATCGAAAGTCTATGGGGCCCGAACCGACACAACTCTAGGAACCGAATCGCCCAGCAGAACCGAATAACAATCTGGGAGATTCAACTCAATGCTAAAAGAACCGAACCGCACCCACTGACAATCGAACCAGGGTCACCCTGCCCAATTTGTTCGATTTAGAAGGCGCAGTTGACTGCCTCACGGATCCTACGTTGGAACACTTTCTCTTCACGTATAGGCGATCTTCTTATGACCGGTGACGATGTGTTTGAGAAGGGAAGGATGGGACGACTTTGTACAGACTTCCAACTTGGGTCCGAACATAAAAATGATGCTTTTCCGTAGGTCATCCAGTGGAAGCATGACGACAAGCACGGTGCCATGAACGAACTTCAAACGGTCTCATTTGACAAGAACCTAAGGCTCCACTGACACCTCAAATGCGTACTGCATACAGAAGCGTCCTAGGTCAGATCAACTGGTTACAGTCGCAAAGCCAAGTCCATTGGTTACCAAATTCTTGAGATGCACGTCCAAGGCCGCATCTCCAACCATTGCGCGCCATAAAAAAGAGAGTCAGAACCATCAAAAGCATCCCACTTAGCAGAAGACTCTGGCCACTCCATGGCAAGACTTGCATCATTGGTTATCTAATAATGAGGACAACTCATCCCAACGCGCGCGCGTCATCCTTCTTGCCGAAGAACATGACCTTCGCAAGGGCTCGTCGAACTCGAGCGGCAACTATGAGACACGTAAGACCACCGCTACAACCGCAGTTCCTGAATTGCACAGACTGATGCGCTGCTACTGTTCATCACTTTTTCTTCGCGGTCTCTGGTCAGACATGACAGGTGCAATTGCTGACGCGCACAGACGCAAACAACCTTGCTGCTGTTGCGGAAAGAAAGCAACAGCGGGCAGATGCACGACCTTGCGCATGCGCAAAGCGAAGATTGCCTCGCAGATTCGTTGACTAAGCATTCGGCCCAAAGCCAGCGAGCTGATCCAGGCAGTCCTGACCGGCAACCTCTTGAATGTTGACACTCATCCACCATTTCGCGCCATGTTGCAGAACAAGGCGTTTCTGGTTGAATGGCTCACACACACAAAACAGCACATGGGCTCGACATCATTGCGTTTGCAGGACTCGGGATAGCAAAACAAAGGATTGCTTGTTGGGGAACCTGGGCATGAGTGGATCATGCCTCCCAAACTTATTGCAGGTATTTGCGCTGACCATTTGTGCTTGACCATGCGTGAACCTCAAGACATTTGCGTCTGCGTCCGCAGCCCGACATAGCGATCTTGGCGCTTGAGATTTCCAACATGCCTCTCTTCTCAGCAGTCACACGCGCAGTGACCAATGCAATGCCCAAGAGAAGAGCACCCCCTTTACAGCCCTCACAGATGGAGGATCATGACGCCAAGGAACCCTCATCCTCACATCCGACAGAGAACAACGCGATGGAAATCGAAAAGGCTGACTGGGGCAGGGAACCCGCCACATCCAAATCTGAGGAAGAGGTAAGGCTTGATCCCCCATCAAGGGAGAAGAAATAAGGATTGGTCCGCCGCAAGCCAGCACAGCCATTGAAGCTGGCGCCAAAGGTCAAGGTCTCGCCGAGGCGTGGCTTTGAGGAAGATTCTGAGGGTCACGTCAAGCCGCCTTTGCCGCAGATCTCAGCATCCTCGACCCACATCCAGTGAACAATCCAAGGCGACAAGCAAGATCGGCATCTACCTCCTTCCAGCATCAGATTAACCGCATCCTCGCTGGAACATCCATCCGCTTCCTTGCTAAGGTGAAGGAGTGTGAAGGCGGGAAGCCCTTTCTCTGGGTCAGGTTCAACACAATTGCTGGTATCCCACATTCAGGGCAACCAGGCAATCAACATGGACAAGACCATTGCGCACGCCAGACCCCTTTGCAAGCACTTCAACATCCCAGAACACAAGGCCCAGCCTATCGTCCACATCCTCCTCTGGAGAATCGCGCGAATGAGCAGACTTTTCTCAGCGGCCCTTCGCCATCCAACGAAAGAGACAATGTGGCGGGAGAAGAGATGCACCGATAAACAAATAAACGAAGACGGATCCTGCGAACTGTGTGGCGTCATGCAAGCCAAAGTTCATCCTGTGAACTTCCTGGGCAACAAGCCGAATCTGTTCCTCATGATGGTATGCCCAGCGCGCGACAAGTCAAGATTCGGGATTGCTTTCGTGTATCCATCCACAGATGGCTCATACGACGAAAGGGTCGTCAAGAAGCAGATTGGGTTGACGAGCATCCCATCACCGTCCGCAAAGAGAGCACTTAGTCCTGATGGACACGAACCCTTGATGGAGCTGCACATCCGCTGCCTGTCAGGACACACACGACCCGTCGATCTCGAATCCGTGAGAGGCCCCTTCCAACATGAGCAACAACATTGGGAAGAACAAGACAGGGGCCTTCCATCCAAGAGCAGCAAGAGTGGGACACTCAATCCAAGGATTGCGGAGCATATCCTGGGGCTCCTCAGCCACAATTCAGACCTAGTCATCCTGCACCTGAACCAAATTAATCGGAGAACAAGATCATTCCATTCGAGAAGGAGATAACGACTTGTACAAGACCTTGGCCGAAGGACTCAAGCCCGGAGTGAAGATTGACCCCAAGAGCCGGCAGCATGCGCACATGGCTTGCATCAACGATGTCATGCTCAACGATGACCCATCCGCATCTGCATTGCACCAGCAGGGCGAGGCGCGATGACCATCCTGGCACTCACACCGGACAAGGCTTGCGGCGTCGACATCTCTGGAGAGCGGGCGGCACTTGCAGACCAGAACATCGATCCTCAGAACATCATCGCTGCACATTCCTCCAAGTGGGAACCTTGTTCAGCAAGGCTTCTGGATCTTGCAGCGAAGACTAAAGGGAGAAGACATGGATCAATACACCACCAAGATCGATGAATTCGCTGGGCACTTCTTCGGCCACGTCAGTGTCAGACCAATGTCAACCTCATCGCCTACAAGACTAGTTTTCCTCAAGTGAGAGGGTTGATAATTTCACAAAGGACAATCCTGTCTTGCTTTTTCAAGCCATGCATCACATTGTCAAGGGTCCCAAGTTTTCGAATTTGACAACCGTTTGCAGCACAGATGCGCGATTTTTCAAGCACATGACGAATCCACAACCATGCGAAATCAATCTAACTTTCAACGGCCTGAGCACAAATGAAAGATTGCTACGGCACAATACTTCGATGTTGAAGGTCAGAAGAAATTTGTGTCTGTTTGCGTGTTTGTTTTTGACACTGTTAACCTTCACACAATCTACCGTTTTGCCTTAAGTTAAGGCCCTTCTTTTCAATCTTTGCGCAATACAAGCCATGTGCTAACTGTGAAAAAACCTTGCGGCTGTGCTTTGCAGGAACAGGCACATCCATTGTCTCACCAACCCATCTGAGATACATTTAGGTCTGACTTGAAATAGATTCAGGGCCATTTCAGCTTCCTACGATGGAGCTACCGGACTCACCCAACCCCCAGTGTTTGACCATGGCATGTCAGTCGTTTCAACTGATGGCGTTTCTGAGCCTTTGGCTGCTGTCGTGTCCAAAGGCCCAGGAATACGCATGGAAAATGCCTGCATTGAAGGGATTGTTGCTCAGCGGGTGGGAACTCCGACCCATCTCGGCCACCGTGGCCGTGGTCAGCCAAGTGCTGACGTCGCCAATCCATCCTCGGCTCAACGGGTTCTGGCGCGGGGTCACATCTAAGATGGTTTCAACTGCCACCTCACGGGAAATTGGGGTATCCACCCAGTTTATGGCAACAAAGAAGAATTGTATATGCTAAACCCTGGGAGCAGTGATTTTGGGTGGAAGTCATCTTAGAGTTGGAGCCATAGCAATCAATCCCACACCCTCAAAAACTATGAGGCGCCGCCAAGAGATCTCCCAATTGCTCAAGGCAAGGCTTGGAAGCCAGCCATGGCGATCATGTGGGGCTGCCCTTCAGAAACTCCACTGTCCAATCCCACTGGGCACCTGTGAGCATGATTCATAACCCACCAAACTTAGGACAAGGGCTTCAACGCAGAGATAGCCAAAGAATACGGAACCAGCCAGCGGCGGGACATTGGACGCGCAAAAGATCCTTGGACAGAACCAACATCCGATTCCCGTGCATCAGTGCAACACAAGCCACGGTCAAACCTACTTGTTTCCCAAGAGTTTCCCAGGTCTCTCCCAAGTGGACCATAGACCAAACCTGATATGATATGACCAAACCTGATAATGTCGACCTATGAGTAATAAACCCCCTGGAATTAACCCCCCCTCGCAAAAACACACCAAGCAACACACTTAGACTCCAGATGGAGGGTTCTAATCTTTCGAGTACAACTGGTAAGTCTCGGCTTGGATAAGGTTCTGCATGAATAAGTTTCGGCTCGCAATGCACTCGGTTTCCCTCTAGTGTCGAAAACGTTACAAGGTTCAACATGAAGCACACACAGCGAGAGAAACAACGGGCCAAAAAGACTTTGCACAACCATTGCAGGTACACAGCTGGACGTCTCCAACTGCTTCACCAGGGTCACGAGGGTGTCTTCGTTGGTGGCAGACTCTCGGCCCTGCTGCCACCCCCTTCACTGTGAGAAAGTTATTGTATGGTGGCAGGGTTTCTGCCACTCCGCACACACACGCCCCTTGGTGAGGGGCGAAAATCTTTTGTTCCAGCCGGAAGATCACGCAATTGGCTCATCAATTCTAACGTCTACCAAAATATCCACTGCGTCGGGGAGAGCGCGAAACTGCACGCTCCGCACGAGGCCGCTCAGAAGACGGGGACGAAAGATCTCCAAGATGAGCAAGACGTGTGCCGCCATAGAAGACAGGCCGAAGCTGCAAAGCTGTCGGGCGATCACCGTCAGAAATGGGAGGGGCATAGGTGAACATCTCTTCGACCCGGATGATGTCCGGATGTTGTACATCAGCAAGTGATGGATCAGGATCATGATGGGTGGAGAAGGACTCCAAGCGAGACAGAATCCGTTGATAACCTTGATGTTGCCAGTCACGAATTGTCCATGCTTGACTGGATTCACAAGTTCCGTCAACATGCTCAGTTACCCGTTTCCACTCCCGAAACAAGTTCTCAGGTAGGGCGGGTACTGCCTCATCTGGGTGCCACAGTTGAAGTTGACCCGGAGCGTAGATCCGCACCCACTCCTGGTCCTGCCAGACGGAGTTTTCGAGCCAAGGGTGCTGCTCGTCAGTTCTGGCCGACGTTTGAGTCACATCATCTGTGTCCATGCTGAAGTCAAGGACAGGGCGTACCGCAGGCTCTGATCCAGCTGGCGAGGAAACAGTCACAATGCACAACCATGCACAACCGGCCAACACACAAGTAAGCAAGAGCAAAGGTGACACTCTTTCATGTCATGATCAAGATGCATCGGTTTATACGTCACCTAGCTCGAAGATGGGCTGCGCCTTGTTGGTAGAGCTGCCTGATTGACCCGCAGGTGTATTTAGATCAGCGACCCCAATAGATTCGGGTGGTGCAACTCCACGAGATACATGTGCTGGATGGTGGGACGCTTGACGCGCGCGTTCTGACAGTTGCTGACAGATCCCAGCCTGAAGACGAGTAGGATCTTCAACAGAGAATTCAGAAGCATCCGAAGATCGGAGAATCGCACTCAACATCTGCGGTGTCATACTCAGAGCCGAAGATTGCGTGGCCACGCTATAGCCCGGCGAGGGAGAAGGGTCACGCCACGCGCCATCAGGAACTGAAGACGCCGATGAGGACGACACTCCACCAGGCACGAAATCTGTCGATCCAATGTATGGACACCAAGGCGTTGATAACCTCGCGTATGCCAATCACGGAATTCCCACACGTAGTAGGACGCGTAGGAGACAGGCATGACATTCGGATCCGCAGCGGTGCCTCCGGTGCTGTCACGGGGTAAGTACACGTCAAAGTGGTATACCCTGCGCCACTCCCGATACGTGGAGGTGCGGTCCGGGGTTGGGCCCAAGGTGGATGCAGCCACAGGCTGCCACATGCCCGGTGTGTAAACCCGAATCCATTCCAGGCCTCTCTCAATGTGGTACTCAAAGTAGCGCGGCAACATGACAACCGACTGAGTCGCCAAATTACTATTACAAGGGCAAGCGAAGCCAAGGGATCTGCGGTGTAACAATCATGCCATGACCGACATGCATGCCATGCCTAATCAGCAAGCAATGCAATGTGTCAAGAGACGGCAAGGTGACGTCCCGTGGGACGCTGTGCACCGAACCCTCAAGCTTTAATACCAACCACGTAGAAAGGTGTATACGGACGATGCCGTTATAGCCGAACCCGTGTAAACGTTGTAAGGAAGAAGGAATGATAATTACACAGTGGTCCTGACAAAGCGGCGCAAGCAGTTGTTTTGCTCTTAATGCCGATCACGTAGGTCTGCAGTCACACATCAGATCTTGAACCTCAATTGTGTCTTGAGCCAAATGGCGATCAATGGAACTTGGGAAGCAACACCAACAAGGACCTCAGAACAGCTACCCAATTTCGGCACGGGGCCTAGAGGGTTTTAACATCCCCCATTTGGGTCGCATTGTTCATCATGCGGTCCAAACACCACAAAACGTTCCACTGGCCACGGCTTCAACTACGAAATCGTGTCGTGCATTCTTTTACTTGCTATCACTACACCGTTCATTCGCTGTGAAACATGCCGGGTTCGATTGTACGAAAAGTGAAACATTCATCCTCCAATCGAAGCACACATCCATATGCAGGTGTATATAATACACTGTGGCCACTTCACTTGACCGCCAGTGAACATTCCAGCTGCCGCATTTGCGCATCGCGCAGCTGTCATCCATAAATGGGTTGGCCACAAAAGTCCACCAGACGCGCCCGCTTGTGATCGGTCTGCATATCTCCGGCAAAGAAACATCGGTGAGTAATCAATGCAAATCGTAGCCATTCCAGATACCATGGACAATGCATAAATAATGAAAAGATATCATCTATAAGGTAATAATTCCATCCATGAATATCCAGAGCGTCATAGTCGTCGGAATATGTAACCATGTACACATCCATTCATCTTGGACACATGAATATAAATCATGACATAAGTCGTTCCACCGAAACAGTGTCGATGTGACGCAAGTAACAGATGGGGACTGGCCCACATCGTACCGCAATCATCATCTTCACGAAGCATACCTGTCCCCAATGGACAGCCTATGGGTACGTCGGCGGAACTCCTCGTCCAAGTTCTTCTGGGCTTCTCGTGCCCGGACACACTTCTTGTTGTAGTCCTCTGGCAACCAGTGCCCTTTCCGAAGGCACCAATCCAGCAGGGGTGTGTCGCATTTGTTCGGGTCGACGGCCGAGATGATGGCGCTCACGTTGACCGTGTAACCATGTTTGCCAAGGTTCAGGCCATCCCTCACGAATGATATATACTTACAGTTGAAAGCTAGTGCAAAACATCTGAAAATAATATCACCCACCGGGTGCACTCGGTCCTTGACCAGGAGCTTCATTTCTTCCTTGGTGACATCGAGGATTCTCGCTGCAATCCACAGCTTGTAGAATGTGTATAGTCCCTCGCATTTGTTCACCATCATACGAATATATTCGTCACGCTCCTCAACCGATCGGAAGGCTCTTGTCCGAACATTCTCCGATTGAGAAATCTTCGTTATTGTTGATGGCAAAAGTATACCTTCCTGATCATGCTCAGTGATGTTGGGGTACCTCTTGAAATCATTGTGATAAGGGCAGCCCGGATTCCCTTCGAGTCCGGCATTCATCGTTCTCTCCTCACCACCTTCAAACATCCCCCACATCTTGGACAGCTGGAGTGCGATAAATCCTGCCATGTACTGAGCCTCACGCGGCTCGTCAAGGCAGATCGCCATCCGTTGGGAACTTATAATGTCCCGTGACGTCAGATCGGTGTCGCGGTAATGCCAACCGCCGTCTTCTTCTTCTGACGCATAGCCGGATGTATATCCTTGCGTGTCCATGTCGTCATCTTCTCCCGGAACTTCCTCCGCTTCGTCCTCATCCTCCTGTGCTGCCGCATCGTGGTTAGCTTCTTCCTGTGCACGCCTGGCATCTCCAGAGACGTTGGGGTTTTGGTTGTCCTCCTCGTCATCGGATTTGATGTGAATGTAGTATCTTCCGATGGAGATCAGTTGTGCCTCGCACTCCAGGCATAAGCAGAAGCAGGTGGGGATCGCGGTCGCACATGATGGACATATCCGGCACCTCAGTCCTTCCCATGTCTCGTCATTCAGGATGACGACTTTGCTGATTTCGTCCCGGACCTCGTTGACCTGTGCATTGAACTCTTCCATCTTGTTGTTTCGATAGAGTTCGCAGGCACGATTAACCATGTCAACGATGTAGTGCAGATTATCGGCACCTGTCTCAGTCTCCGGCATCCTCTCGCTGATCTTTGCGACGTTCTGGAGGAACATCGCAGCCGACTCTTGGGAAGAGTTGACAAAGCCAGGGCAGATCTCGTTCTCCACACACTTCGAGTACGCCCTCTTGATGTCAGCGTACTCCAGGCGCTTCCCTCCGTTGCTTTTGCCAATCCAAATGGACTTGACCTCATAGAACGGGATCACGTCAAAGACCATGAAAGTCCCATTAGCCGCGACTCCAGCCCCATACCGCGCGAGGGTTGCACTGGGAATATAG